AACGTCCCCAGCTGAGATGGGACATTATGTCGGCACGCAGGGGAGCTGTGTAGACGGATCCTCAAGTTGCTTAGGTCTGAGAGAGAACATCCTGGCAACACTCGATCTCCCCCAGGGAAGAGAAATGAATTTTTATTTCAGAAGCCTGTTGAGTACCTACAAAACCTGCGCGTAGTGTGAGGTGGGGATGGAAGCGAACCCCAGAAAGGACGTTTGGTGGCAAAAAGATCGGGGATGTTTTCTCGAGTTGGATGTGGGGGCCTGGGGGCAGGGCAGTTTCAAAGAGGACCTTCTAAAAATACTGCCCATTTGCCAAAACGACACAGACCCCGCCTGTGCTCTGCCCCAGACAGCGCCTCAAAAGAAGAAATTGTCTTGCCACCCACACCTTCCCTCACCGGGCCAGGGCATCTCCCCAGGGTGGCGGAGCGGGGTGTGGGGGAGGGAAGGAAAGTGCGAGATTTCTGATCCCAGCTCAACACTCTTCTCTCTGAGCCTGTTTCTTCATCAGAAAAACAGGAACGCGAGTAGCCAACATGCAAGTTAGACCAAATGGCCATCTATGCCTCATGTCATTCAGTGCCTGGCGCACGGTAGGCACTGTGAATTCTGGTTCTGATGTCCCTGCAGGGGGGGACCTGCCGTGTGTGGAGAGGGGCTAGGGGCAGGGGTGGATAAACCAGACAGGTGGGTCCCTGTCCTCACAGGCTCTGACTTGTGTGGTCTGCCCCGTGCCAGGGCAGCGGAAGGGGACTCTCTCCCATGCGGTGGGCTACTCAGGGCCATCTCTGTCCCCCACCCCCTCTGGAATTGCAAGTGGGGGAAAGAGTCCTTTGAGGGCCCTTTGAAGCACTTCCTAGGCATCTATGGACACAGGAAACGTGGCTCCGGGGACAGAGGGACATCCCAGGCCAAGCTCTAAGTAGGTCTTGGCATGACTGAGAGGCAGCTGTGGCATTTGGGGGAGCCTAGAGTCTCAGGCCTGAGTCCCAGCTCCAACACCCTCTGACATAAAGAGCTTCCTTGGACTGCGGGCTTCCTGGGTGACTGGACCCCACACTGAGCCCCTTTTGGCCTTTTGAGCATCCTGCAAAGTAGTCTTTATTTTCTGCATCTAATGGTGGGAAAACTGGTGCTCAGAGAAGTTAAGTGATTTGCCTAAGGCCTCGCAGCCAGGACTGAAGACACCAGCTCCCAGACCACGTGACCCTGGGCAAGCCGTGTTGCTGGGCGTTTGAGCCTCTCCGTCTGTCAGATGGGCATAGTGCTCCATCCTGCCTTCTCCCCAGAGCCCTGTGGGGACTCAGACCAGGCTGGGATGGGGGGATGGAGGCAGAGGTTCACTGAGAGCTGCAAATCCCTGCCCACCCGAGAGGAAGGGCTTAAGGCGCAGGCTTCGGTGGTCTTAGGGAAGCAGGTTTGTGTTGGGGGCTTCTCCAGGTGGAGCCCCTGATGTAGAACTTGGCCCCTGGGCAACTTTATTCCCAGGCAGCTTGTCAGTGGTGATGATGGGGGTGTGGCCCAGACCACCCCAGCTGCCCTGCTGGCTGGGGGCCTTTCCTGTCACTCTGGGGTCTAAGGGGGGGTCTCCTTATGCAAATGAACAGAAAGCTTGGCTTCCCAAAGTGGTGACTCAGGAGGGGATAGAAGAGAAAGGGTCCCTTTGTCACTCTCACAGAGGTGAGGGGCCAACTAATGATAATCATAATGGCCATCATGCATATCTTGCTCCCACATGTGTGTTGGGTGCTGATTTAAGCTACCATTCATCCAGCACTTACTGACCACCAGTCCCCTTGCTACAGGCTCCAGGGGAATCGACTCACCCAATCCTTATGAGTTACCAATTATTATTGTTCCCATTTCACAAATGAGGAGACTGAGGCTCCCAGTATTTTAAAAAATGAGCTTGCCTGCCTGCAGTGAGTTGGTAGGAAAGCGTGGTCCCAGAGTCAGGCACTCTGACTCCGAAGCGCACGCGAGCCGCCTTCTTTCTCTCCTGTCCGTGTGCCTCTGACCGCGTGCTTCACCACATTTGGCAACATTGTCCCATGTTTGCAGCTGAGCCCATGCTGAGGCTGTGCTCAGCTTCTTCAGGCTCCTCCCTGCTGCTCCTCCCGCCATCTTCCCGTGGCGATAGCACCTGGCCCCCGTGCTTGTGCCTAGATGTGACGGGGGTGATCATTTGCATGGAGAGATTCTGATGGGAGGAAAGAGCACTGGGTGGGGAGTCTCCTGCTCGGGGATCAGGTGCAGGCTCAGCTGCCAACAGGCTGTGGGGTCTCTTGTGAGTCATGTGTCTCCTTGGGGTCTCAGTTCTCTCATCTTTAGAATGAGACAGATTGAGCTCGAGGGTCCCTGGCAGACCTGATGCTCTGTGAGAAAACCAAGAGTTAGGGCCACTTGCCCAAAGCCACACAACTCGTTCGTGGAATCGCGGGGGTCTGTCTGGAGCTGTTGTCACCAGATCACACAGCCTCCAAAAAGACGCAGACTGCTACGATGTGGGCTCTCAGTCAACACCCGATTGGACGGGAGGCGGACGGCAGGCAGGAGGCAGGGCAGGGAGGCTTCTCTCGCCATCCTGGAGAGGCCAGCAGACTGCCTACCTGAGGCCCAGGCCAAGGTGCTGGCAGAGACGGAGCCCTCCGCCCCCACCGCCCGGCCTTGGCCCCACTCCAAGGAAAGGGTGGTGCCCCCGACTTTCAGTTCTGCTTCCTGTGGTCATGGCTGGCAGGGCCCTGGCTGCAAGCCGGTTATGTTTGGGTTCCTGCAGCCCCGCCTCAACCCGTTATGAGCAGGCGGCCCCAGCCAGGGCCCCAGGTTGAACTGGGACGTTCATTCCCTGTGCTGCCTGGCGCCCGTGCTGAGCCCCTCCATGGGCAGTGAGAGCTGCTGATGATGGAAAGAAAAGGAGCTCTGGCAGGGGTCGTGAGTGGGTGTGTGTTTCCTCATGACGTCACCTTCCCGATGTCCCACCCCAGTTCAGCTCCATTCTCTTCCAGGCCCGGGATGGGGCTCGCAGGCCATCCCTGAGGTCCTCTGGCTTCAGGGCCAACTCTTCTCTCACCTCCTTCAAGAAGCTTCCTGTTTCCTTCCAGCCTGTATTCGCATTGCATGTGTGGTGGGCTGAATGGTGGTCCCCAAAAAGACGTGTCCACACCAAATCCCTGGAACCTGTCGAGGTGACCTTATTTGGAAAAAGGGTCTTGGCAGACACAATTAAGTTAAGGATCTTGAGATGAGATCATCCTGGGTTATCCAGGTGAGTCCTAAATCCAATGCCAAGTGTCCTTATAAAGAGAAAGGCAGAAGAGAATTGAGAATGGAGATGAGGTGACATGCCCACCGAGGCAGAGAGCAGAGTGATGCGGCCACAAGCTCGCAAGTCAAGGATCACCAGTGGCTCCCAGGAGCTGGGAGAGACAGGGAAGGGGTCTCCCCTACAGCCCCTGGAGGGCTGCTGGTGGCCCTGCTGACACCTCCATTGAACTTCTATGAGATTTAACTGCAGAACCGTGAGAGAATAAAATTCTGCTGTTTTAAGCTGCCTGGCTGGTGGTACTTTGTCACAGCAGCCCAAGGAAATGAATACACCATGGGAGCACAGGCTACCCAACCAGGGATCAGGGCGGGGGCCTTGGACCCACACAGACAACGCTACAAATTGGCTTTCCCCGCCAGTCTCTGCATAATCTCACAGAAGCTGCTTAGCCTCTCTGAGCCTCCGGTTCCTCGTCTGCAAAAGGGAGCCGATACTGCCTACCTTCCAGGTTCTATTGTGTTTTAGAAGCTTTATTGACCTATAGTTCACGTATCACGCCATTCACCCATTTGATATGTACAATTCGATGGCCTTTTCAGAAGAGTCACAGAGTTGTGCAACCATCCCCACAGTTGATTTTAGAACATTTTCATCACCTCCCCCAAGAAACTCCGCAACCACCAGCAGTTGCTCCCCGCTTCCCCTCCCCCAGCCCCAGACAACCGCTGAATCTACTTTCTATCTCTACAGATTTGCCTAGTCTGGATATTTCACATAAATGGAATCATACAATATGTGTTCCTTTGTGTCTGGCTTCTTTCACTCAGCATAATGTCCACCCACGTTGCAGCACACGGCAGTACTCTTCCTTTCTATGGCTGAATAGTGCTCTATTATATGGATAGATCACATTTTGTTTATCCATTCATTCATCTGTTAATGGACATTTGAGTTGTTTCCATATTTGGGCTATTATGAATCATGCTTCTATGAACATTTGTGTATAAGTTTTAGTGTGGCGTGCCTGGGATTGCTTTAAAGATGAAATGAGGCAGCATTCGAAGCATTTGATATGCCCTTCAACAAACGATGATGAAGGAATCTTAGAGAGACTCTACCCAGACTCTTTCAATTTACATATTAGGAAACTGAGGCATGAAGAGAAGAAGAGACTTGCTTAAAATCACCCAAGGCAGCACAGCATTGCACTTAAATGCAGGTGCTTGCGTCAGACTACCTGGGTTCAAAATCTAGTTCCACTTAGACCTGGATTTCCTTATAAGAAGCACTTCACCTGTCTGAGCCTCGTTTTCTGACATGTAAAGTGAAGAGAGTGATGGTACCTGACTTACCTGGTTGTTGATGTGATGATTAAATGTGCCAGCTCATGTGCCTGGCATACAGTATGTGCTCTATAATCTTAGCTGGTATTTTTCACGGTGGTGCCAAACATGGAACCAGGTCTCCTGACTCCCGGGTGTGAGATCCCTTAAATCTACACTTCCCAGTTCCCTTTTCTGTCTCATGGGCATCTTCCCAATGTGGTTGTAAGTTCCTTGAAGGAAGGGAGTATGGCTTCCTCTCTCCACCACCTGGAGCATATAAGAGGTGCTGAATGATTACTGTTGTCCATGCCCCCCAACTCCACCCTCGCCAGCTGGGAGCTGTTGTAGGTGTTCATTCTCTGCCTCTGTCCAACAGCCCATGAGATGACTGAATGTGGCTTCTCTACCAGGTAGTGCACAGTGTTCTGCCATGGAGCTGGGGCCTCTAGAAGGCGGGTACCTGGAGCTTCTCAACAGCGATGCTGACCCCTGGTGCCTCTACCACCTGTATGACCAGATGGACCTGAGTTCAGAAGAAGAGATTGAGCTCTGCTCAGGTGGGCTCCCTCCCTCCGGCCTCTCCCTGCTGGCCCACGCCTCAGCTGGCTGAGACAGCAACCCCGGAGGTGTTGGCTGCGGAGCTCCGGTCAGCACCACGGACAGCTCCCCGTCCTCACTTGCCGGCCTCTCCCTCCTTCCCTGCCAGCGCTCTGCCCAAATCTTTCCTGCTTCACCCAAGGGGCTTTTCCTTCCAGAACCCGACACAGACACCATCAACTGTGACCAGTTCAGCAGCCTACTGTGTGACATGGAAGGTGACGAAGAGACCAGGGAGACTTACGCCAATATCGGTGAGGAAGCCCCCGAGGGGAAGCATTTTTTGTCCTCCTTTGTTAATCTCACCCGTTCACCTTGAGCCTCAGCAGGTTTCTCCCCCAGAAATCATGGGAAGGGGACACTGAGCAGGGGCTGGCAGAACAGAGACTGCAGGGAAGAGGGGAGATGCAGCCCAGTGCGGGAAACAGGCCCCGCCACTAACGACCACCAGGCAACCAGAATCTCACATTTGCTTCCTCTGCCTCCATTTCTGTCTTTTTGCTCTTCTTTCTGTCTTTCCCATAAAGCCTGCACCATAAGGCCGGGCGCTGTGGCTCATGCTTGTAATCCTAGCACTCTGGGAGGTTGAGGGGGGCGGATGGCTCAAGGTCAGGAGTTCGAAACCAGCCTGAGCAAGAGCGAGACCCTGTCTCTACTACCAATAGAAAGAAATTAATTGGCCAACTAAAAATATATAGAAAAAATTAGCCAGGCATGGTGGCGCATGTCTGTAGTCCCAGCTACTCAGGAGGCTGAGGCAGGAGGATTGCTTGAGCCCAGGAGTTTGAGGTTGCTGTGAGCTAGGCTGATACCACTGCACTCACTCTGGCCTGGACAACAAAGTGAGACTCTGTCTCAAAACAAAACAAAACAAAAGCCTGTACCATACACCTCTTTTCATTTTCCTTCCCACCCTCAAGCCAAACTCCTCCAGTATTTGCAATAACTGCCATTCACTGGGCACTCATAGCATGTTCACTGCTGCACGTGTGTCATCACCTCGAATCCTTACAGCAAAGGAAGTAGGTGCTGTCAGTCTCCCGCCTTTACAGGGGAGGAAGCTGCGGTGTAGAGAGGTGAACCGACCCGCCCAAGGCTGCATTAGCGATAGGCACGGGCAGGTCTGGAATTCTCACCTAGGTCTTTTTCATTTCAAAGTCCCCATTTTCAACTACAAAAAGGAAAGTGTCTGGAGTTGGGAGGTTTGCCAAGGCTTAAGCTGCGAAGCTGGTTTGCAGCTTTCAGACAAGGGCAGAACTCTCTGAGGGAGGTGTTGTGGCTGCTGCTGCTGCTGGGGTTTTTTGGGGCGTGGGGGTAGGATAGAGGATCCCTCCTCACCAGCATCACCACTGCCTCACACAGAACTTTTGTTGAAATAGGAAAAGATGCCCCTTCTTCTAGACTCCCTGCCAGGCAGTCACAGCTTGGCTAGCAAAGCACGAGCTGGACTCCTGCTCCCATGTGCTCCCTTGGCCAGGGTACCCTTGTGCAGTGGACAACCTGCACGACTGCTCCCATTTGCCCGCTTAACCAGGGTACCCTTGTGCAGTGGACAACCTGCATGACCGTTCTTAGTGGCTCTTTTCCTGGCAACCCAGGAACCACATTACTCAGCAGGTTTGTGCTTGGCCCCAATGTGGCTAATTTTCCCCCTGAGCACAGTTAGTTGATCATCACACAGAGGCAGACTATGGAGAGAAGCGGTAACTGTGCCCGTCTCTAAAATTACAGAACTGAGAGCCTGCCTGCTTCCTTCCCTTCCTGGGAATTCACTTAGAGGAAGCAGAAGTGTTTGAGGATGAGGGCATTTGCATTTCCTCAAAACTGGAGGCAGTAATTAAGTATTTGGGCATCTCTTAGGATTTTGGTTTTTTTTTTTCCTTAGGGGCATCTCCAAGGTGGGGAAGCTGCCTGAGCAAGTATGGGAAGCAGTGCCTTAGTCTGTTTTCTGTTGCTTATAACAGAATACCTGAAACTGAGTAATTTATAAAGGAGAGCATTTGTTCCTTACAGTTGTGGAGGCTGAGAAGTCCAAGGTTGAGGGGCTGCACCTGGTGAGGACCTTCTTGCAGGAGGGGACCAAGGCAGAGCAGGGCATCAGTGGCAAGGGGTCATGTGTGCTAGCTCAGGTCTCGCCTCCTCTTCTCATGAAGCCACCAGTCCCACTCCCATCATAACCCACTACTCCCTTAACCCACGACCCATTAACCCATAAGTGGATGAACCCATTCCAGCGGCCTCTTAAAGCCTCCAATCACATCTTACAGGCCTCTCAACACTGCCGCAGTAGGCACTGAATTTCAGTATGCGTTTTGGAGGGGACAAATATTCAAACCATAGCAAGCGCTTTGTCCAGGGGTTTTCTCTTTCCTTCTGGAAGGCCAAGCCCAGGCCTGGGCAAATGTTCGTTTGAGGCACCCTGAAGTAGTCCCTTGGCTTCCGTATGTGTAAAGTGGGGATAATAATCACATCTACCTCATGAGGTGGCTGTAAGATTGAAAAAGTCAGCGTGTGCAAAGCATTTAGGAAAGGAATCTGCACAGAGTAAGCCTTCAAGGGATGCCGGGTACCACCGCAAACATCACCACCACTGATGCCGTCGTCATCGCTGCCTGCCTTCAGTCCTCGGCTCAGACCCCACGGCTCCCCATTGCCTACAAAGTCAATTCCTAACTCTCCCCAACGTGAAACTTCTACCATAGTCACCTACCTCTCAGCGTTCCCCAAACATACTGTGGAGACCTTTCCTCACTCTGTCACCATGACCAAAGAAGCCATCCATTGTCCTTCTCTCAGACTCCGCCCCATCTTTCAAGACCTGGCTCCAGGATCCCTTCCTCTGGGAAGCCTTCTCTGATCGCCCCATCCCCTTATACACTCTTTTCTCTGACCTCCTGCCATGATAACTCTCTCCCAGAAGCTCTGAGCCATGTACTACTTCATATAATTGACCACCGCTTATTGAATGTCTACTGTGTACTATGTTGAATGCTTTAAATGCAGAGCCTCTAATCATCACTATCTATTCCTGTGTAGTAGATGTTATTTATTCTCCTTACACAGATGAGGAAATGGAATTCAGAGAGGTTAAGTAACTAGTCCAAGGTTGCACAGCTAGTAGGGCATATGGAGAGTGAAGGTGGAATTTGAACTCAAACCCCATGCAAACTCTACCAGTCTGCCTTGCACTACTTCATAGCAGTAGATAAGTTTTTATGGATATATACCTCGCCCTTTCAATGAGATTAAGAGCCCATGAAGGGGCCACGCAGGATGGCTCATGCCTGTAATCCCAGCACTCTGGGAGGCCAAGGTGGGAGGATTGCTTGAGGTCAGGAGTTCGAGACCAACCTGAGCAAGATCGAGACCCCATCTCTACCAAAAATAGAAAAAATTAGCCAAGTGTAGTAGCACGCACCTATAGTCCCAGCTACTCAGGAGGCTGAGGCAGGAGATTCACTGGAGCTCAAGAGTTTGAGGTTGCTGTGAGCTACAATGACGCCATCGCACTCTACCCAGGGTGACAGAGCGAGACTGTGTCTCAAAAAAGAAAAGAAAAAAAAGAGAGCCCATGAAGGGTCAGTGTTCATTCATTCATTTGGTCATTCATTCCGCAAACCTTTATGGAGCCCCCACTGTGTGCTGGGCCCAGAGGGCCACAGCTCCCTGGTGACTAACCAAGGTGTGGCGCACAGTAGGCCTTCCTTCAGTGAGACCGTGTTGACTGACTGAGCTATTCCTCGTCTGGGCAGCGGAACTGGACCAGTACGTGTTCCAGGACTCCCAGCTGGAGGGGCTCACCAAAGACATTTTCAGTAAGTTGTGGGGCGGGGGCGGGGGCGGGGGCGGTGACTCTTGGCTCGGCCTGTGTGCCTGTCCTTGTGCCGTGGGGAGCACCGTGATACCCGATGACCACCCCTCCCTGGGCACTCAGACCCTCCCCCCAGTGTGGGGACAAGAGAGGCTCGCCTTGGGCCTCCACTTAGGGCGCAAGTCGGGCTCTGGTTTTTCTCCAACGTAGAGCACATAGGATCAGATGACCTGTTGGGTGACGGCGTGGAGGTGCCAGCAGAAGTGGGGCAGAAAAGCCAGAAAAGACGTGAGTGAGCCCCTCCCTGACCCACCTTGCCTTGCTTGAGACCTGGCCCTTCCTTGGCTCCAAAGCCTGCTGTGGCTCCCAGTTGCTTTCCTCGTTAAGTCTCGTCTGCCCTGCCTGGGTTTGGGGCCCCCCGCTGCCTCGCCCCTCACTTCCGCTTGGTGGTGACCCAGGGAGGACACAGACGGCCCAGGTGCAGATGCCCTCTCTCCTGGGGGGTTTCTGTCCCTGGCTGTTTTGATTGTCATTCCCCAAAAGGACCCTTGGGTTCTGGCTTCTCTTTGGTCCTTAGTGCTCACCCCTGTATGTGAGGGAGGCCTCTTCAAGCACAGGTTCTGGCAACAGCAAGCACTGGGTTTGAGTCCTGGACCTGCTGTTTACGGTCTGTGTGACCTTGGCCAAGTATGTGCACCTCTCTGAGCCTCCTACCCAGTCTCCCTTCCTCCTTAGTCTGTCCTCAAGTGGTGGCCAACGCCAATGGGAGCTTTTAAATGCAAATAGGTTCATTTCATGGCCCTGCTAACCCTCCTGGCTACAAAATACACACACCACAGGGCCTGCATGATCCGGCCTTTCCCACCCTGAGTCACTACACTCCAGCCACCACAGCCTCTTTCCACTCCTGCAATGCCAGCCCCAGGGCCTTTGTACTTGCTGTTTTCTCTACCTGGAACGCCCTCCCCGCAGTTCTTCCCTTGGCTGGTTCCTTCTAATCTTTTAGGACTTGGCAAAAAATGTCACCTCCTCCTGGAAGTCTTCCCTGACTTCCTTTCCACATAGGTTAGCTCACTTATTCCCACCTTGTCCGTGCCTCTCCTAGCCCCTTAGCACTTGTCACAGTGTGGACATATGTACCTATTGCCTGTTGCAAGTTTTCCCACTGTGAGGACGGGGACCTTGTCTCCCTGCTCGTCTCCAGCAAGTAGCGCAGCGCCTGGTATGCAGCTGCACCGCAACAAACATCTGCTGAATGAAAGTATCTGTACAATGGGCGAAACAGCTCATGGAGGCGCTTACTCTTGCCAGAACACGTGCTCATCGCAAAAGCGCACAGCTAGGAAGGGATTCAAAAGCAGGTTGTTTTGTTTTACGACTCAAACCCGTGTCGTGTCCGCTTTGTGGCTCAGCTTCTTCTGCTGCCCTCACTTCCCCGGGGTGCCTCGAGGTGGGTTTGGGTTCAAGCGGAGGAAGGGGAGGGAGAGAGGGGAGAGGATGGGGCCCCCAAGGCCACCTCGCAGCCCTTGGAGGTGAGGCCGTATGGCCTGCTGGGGGCATGAGCCCCTCCTGGCTTGGGGCACGCCTTCCCCGGCGGGCGGCTGACCATGGCATTCCCTCTGCAGCCTTCCCAGAGGAGCTTCCTGCAGACCTGAAGCACCCGAGGCTGGGTGAGCCGGGTGGGGGGCCAGGGAGGGGCCTCCGCAGGTGCCCATGTCAACTGGCATTAGAAGCCGAGGCTCAGAGAGGGGGAGTCATTCGTCTAGAATCACACAGCGAATGAGAGGGAAGGTGGGAGTCAGTCCAAGGTCAGGGTTCCTTAGCCCACGGGCTGCAGTCAGAGGGCTGCTGGGAGAGTCAGCTTCTAGGGAGCCCATCCCTGGACACCTCTTCCCCTTCACCAAGTCAGAGCTGACACCCGCCCCCAGCCTCGTTCCCCTGCCCCTCCCCACACCACACTTCTCCTTTCGGAGTGCAGAGTCACTGGGGCGGGGCCAGGCACCCAGTGCCCTCCTGCCCTGCTTAGGGGCCCCCTGCTGAGTGCGACTCTCCCCCCAGCTCCAACCCACCAGATGCTGCCTCCTCCCCCTCCCCCTCCCCTCTTCTCCCTCGCCCTTCCCCCTTCTCTCCCTTTCCCTCCTACCCAGTTGTGGTCACAAAGGTGGGGAGACCAGCCCCTGTGTGGACAACAGACAGAGGAATGACAGGCTCATAGTGTGAGGGAGGAAGCCCAGTCCCTGCTCTCAGTCTGATCACGGAGACAGGGGCCCTGGGGAAGACCCGCTCCAGGATGACGGAGCAGTGGGCCCCGTTCTTGGGGAGCTCCGAGTCTGATGGGAGAGACAGGGTTCCCGTTCTCCAAGTCTCCCAATCCGATGGGGGCGACAAATCCTTCCCATCTTAGATCTCCCCGAGTCTGATGGGGGGCAGAGGGGCGTGCATGGTGCAACCCCTGCCTTTCCCTGGGCACAGCCCGAGGGCTGCCCGGGGCTTCTTAGGGTCCCCTGCAGGGCTCAGTGGCCCTGGAAGGTGGTGGCACCTGGAGCCGGCACTGTTCGCAGGTTCTGTTCTGCCCCAGCTGTGCGTGGGGTTGCGGGGAAGCTCCAGGCCTGTCCCAAGGAGAGGATTGGGGGCAGCGCCTGGCGCACAGCAGGTGCTAATCAGCCCAGCTCAGCAGGGCTGAGGGCAGGGGCGGGCGTTTCCTCTCACTGCCGGGAGAGAGATCCGGGAGAGCCCTCCTCTAGGCACCCAGCCGGTCTCACGCAGCCTCTAACACACCCCTTCCTCACAGCCGAGGCCCCTGCTATGCCCGTGGTGACTGGCAGTTTCCTGGTGGGCCCAGTGGGCGACTCCTCTGCCCTGCCCTTCCTGCCACCACCTGCTCTGTCCGACCAGGAGCCAGCGTGCGGCCAGACCCTCCCGGAGGAGCCCGCGCAGGTGCCCGGTATGGTAGGGGCTCGGGGAGGGTGGGCTTTCCCCTCCCAGGAGGTGGCTGAGGAGCTGGCATGAAGGCAGGACTGCCAGGAACAGGAACCCCGCCCCCATTGGTGCCACTCACCTCTGTCCCGGCCAGCGTCATCCTCAGGGTCCCCATCAGCTCAGTCCCTGCCAGAGAACACGCCTCAGAAGGAAACACATCCGGGGCGGCCGGGGAGGGAGTCTCCAGCGGTTAGGGAATTCGCCCGCCAGCCCCACTCGTTCTCTTTGTGGAGAACCTGCTCTGTGCAGCCACGCCGCTGGGCGCTAGGGACGCCGCCGCGGGCAGGCCGGACACAGCCGCTGCTCGTGGGGAAATGAGAGCCTCTCCGGCAGCCAGACATTGATCGAAGAGAATTTTTTGTAATTTGTAATTCGCACAGCAGAATTACAAACACAGACGCTGTGGGAGACAGATGCCCCCTCACTGCCTCTGTCTCTCGCAGCGGTCCCCGCCTGGTCCTCGGCGAGCGGCCTGAACCTCCCTGCCGGACACATCCAGCTGATCTCCACCCTCCCCGCCCTGCCCCAGGGGCTCTGGCAAATCTCAGGGGTTGGGGTGTCCAGTGTCTTCATCTACCAGGGTGAGTGAGAAGCCACCTCTCCCGCCTACCTGACTTCTCCGTGACCCCAGGCATTTGGCAGTAGGGCCCCAGTGTCTTCTCATGATCCTCCCTCTCCAGCATGCCTTTCCCAGCCTCAATGTCCCCAAAATCAAAGCAGGGGAGGAGAGCTCCTTGGGGTGGTCTGGGTGCATGACCGAGAGTGGCTGTGTGGCCTTCCGTGTGTCACTTTCCCCCTTTGACCCTTAGTGTTTCCTTTTTTTTTTTTTAAACAGTCTTGCTCTGTTGCCCAGGCTAGAGTGCCATGGCATCAGCCTAGCTCACAGCAACCTCAAACTCCTGGGCTCAAGTGATCCTCCTGCCTCAGCCTCCTGAGTAGCTGGGACTACAGGCATGCGCCACCATGCCCGGCTGATTTTTTTCTATTTTTAGTAGAGACACAGTCTTGCTCTTGCTCAGGCTGGCCAATTTTTCCTTCTTTTTAAAAAAGTTTATTTTAAGTTGCAACATCAATAGACACTCATTAACAAACCAAATAATAAGAGATGCTTACAAGAGTTGACTGAGGGTCTCCCTCCTACCCCTCCCACGGCATACTGATGTGAGCAGTTTGGTGTGCATCCTTGCACAGCTTTCTCAAATTTGCCTTGTTTCCTGATCAGCAAAATGGTCCTGCTGACCCACCACACTGAGGGGTGGCGAATTATTTCAGGAAAGGCACACCTGGGCTCTCAGAAATGAGGCCAGGAGGGTGCTTCCTTCCACTCAAGTTGAGAGCATCCTTTCGTGGCTGCATGCCTGTTTCTCTTTGAGGCACTGGTGCACCAGCAGCAAAGGAGCGGTTCCTGGCAGTTCTAGAAAAATGAGCACTAACCACACAGTGGGAACAGTGCTTTTGTGGCACCTGCTCCTAAGCTCCTTCTGAGCTGATCGTGTCCATTTCACAGGAGGGGAAGCCAAGGCTCTGGGAGCTAGATCTAACACCAGAGCTCTCTCTGCACCCCAGACTTCCCAAGCTTCACAGCCTGATGGGGGGCGGGAGTGCCCCAAGTGAGTTCCGGGCTGGGTACCTGGTTATCCTGACACCCTTCTCTGCCCACAATGTAGGTGCGATGCCCCAGGCCGGACAAGCTCCCCCTTCCAGCGGCCCCGCTATCCACAGCCTCCCCAAGTCCCCAGGCCGGCCCGGCTCCACCAGCCCCTTCGCTCCCTCTGCAGCTGATCTGCCCAGCATGCCTGAGCCAGCCCTGACCTCCCACGCAGGCGTGACGGGTAAGGACCCCTGGGGGCGCGAGAGGCACCGGCATCGGAAGGGAGGCCCTGGGGAGGGAATTGCCTCAGACAGGCTCCATGCGCAGAGCCTGCCTGCAGGGATGGAAGGCCGAGTTCTCGGGTCAGACAGGACAGGGAGGGCCTCCAGGGAGTGGAGGGCACGGCGGGGGGAGGGGGACAGCTGGAGAATCCACATCCCACCTAAACGGAGCCGCCAGCCTTCAGCTGCTTGTTACCCGGCAGGAAAGCACGTCCAGAGTGGCTGGATCTTCTAAAGCCGAACGTCCCAATTTTTACATCGATACTATGATCTTAAGACTTGGGTGAAATTTTTTAAAAGTACAGATGGCCAAAGAAAGATGTCTTGGCGTCAGACATAGCCTCAGGCCCCTGTCTTCTTACTCCCGTCTGGGCAGACTCAGCCGTTGTGGGCTGTGCCCTCCCTCCGAGGCTCTGAGCACCGCATGGCCCAGAGGGAGGGACGTCCCGGGGTGCCCCTCACCCCAACTCTGACACCAGCTTCTCCATCTCCAGAGAGCGAAATGTCCCCCACCCAAAGCCAGGCAGGCGAGGTCTCCGACAAGCTTCCCAGGTGGTCTGGTGAGTCACGCGGGGCCCTCTGCCCTGGCCGCCGGGGGTGGAAGCCCACGTCTGGCTCCACTCATCCGCTCAGCGTTTATCTAGTCCCTTGTCCGTTGGCCCACACATTCGTTCATTCCTTCATTCATTCCTTCCTTCATTCATTCACTTATTTGGTAGGCATCATTTCAGCATTCATTCCACCACTCACTCACGCAGTATCTATCAAGAACCTGCCCCTCCACAGGCTCACGCCGGGTGTTGGCACCTCATCAGTGAGGCTGAGAGGGTGAAGGGGGGGGGGCGAGGGGCTGAGGGTGGGGGTGAGGGGAGGTGAGAGTGAACGAGCGAGTAAGAGAAGGGCTAAATTGCTAAACGCTGACTTCCACGTACTCGTCTAAACACGTTAGGTATGTTAAATCACTGGGATCTCAGGCGGCGCTCACGTTATTCCCACTGTCCAGGTGAGAACACTGAGGCTTAGTGTAGTATGTAACACGCTCAAGAGTACACTGATAAGTGGCCGAGGTAGGACTTGAACCTAGACACCAGGGCTCCCCTGCCCTCACTCTCAACACCTCCCTCCTATGGCCTCCCCGTGGTGAGTGGGGGAGGGAAAAAGAAGGTCAGTGAGGACACGAGTGGATGAGAGGAGGCATAAAAGGCACGGACAGGGACAGGTGTGAGAAGACGAGTGAGCGCATGGGGCGGCAACGGGAGACTCAGCGAGGGAGCCGCAGGAGGCCGCCGGTGAGGCCGGTGCAGAGAAGGGGTGCAGACGTGGTGACGGTGGCAGTGTTGGCCTCACGGTGGCCGGCCTGCTCCCGCGTGCCCCGCCGACACACGCCTTGGCCTTTGCAGAGCCGGTGGAGCAGTTCTGTCGCTCGCTGCGGGACAAGTATGGGGCGGAGCCCGCGGGCCCCGACGGCGTCCTGGTCCAGGTGGACCTCGTGCGGGCCGGGCTGGAGAGGACCAGCAGCAAGAGCCAGGAGTGGGGGCTGGCCACGCCGGACTGGGCGGAGCGGCAGCTGGCCCGGGGGGGCCTGGCCGAGGTGCTGCTGGCGGCCGGGCAGCGCCGGCGGCCGCGGGAGACGCGCGTGGTGGCCGTGCTGGGCAAGGCCGGGCAGGGGAAGAGCTGCTGGGCCCGCGGCGTGGGCCGGGCCTGGGCCCGTGGACAGCTCCCGCAGTACGACTTTGTCTTCCACGTGCCCTGCCACTGCTTGGACCGTCCGGGGGACGCCTACCGCCTGCGGGACCTGCTCTTCTCCCTGGGCCCCCAGCCCCTGGCGGCGGACGACGAGGTCCTCAGCCACATCTCGAGGAGGCCGGACCGCGTCCTGCTCGTCCTGGACGCCTTCGAGGAGCTCGAGGCCCAGGAGGGCTTCCTGCACGGCGCGGGCGGCCCGGCGCCCACGGAGCCCGGCTCTCTCCGCGGGCTGCTGGCTGGCCTCTTCCAGCGCAAGCTGCTGCGGGGCTGCACCCTGCTCCTCACCGCGCGGCCCCGCGGCCGCCTGGCCCCCAGCCTGAGCAGGGCCGACGCGCTGTTCGAGATGCCCGGCTTCTCCGCCCAGCAGGCCCGGGACTACGTGTCGTGCTACTTTGAGCGCTCGGGGGCCACCGAGCACGGAGACAGAGCCCTGGCGCTCCTCCGGGACCAGCCGTTCCTCCTCAGTCACAGCCACAGCCCGACCGTGTGCCGGGCAGTGTGCCAGCTCTCGGAGGCCCTGCTGGAGCTGGGGGACGGGGCCCAGCTGCCCGCCACACTCACGGGACTCTACGTGGGCCTGCTGGGCCCGGCAGTGCGCGACGGCCCCCCGGGGGCGCTGGTAGAGCTGGCCAGGCTGGCCTGGGAGCTGGGCCGCAGACACCGGGCTGCCCTGCGGGAGGGCCAGTTCCCCTCCGCGGAGGTGAGGACCTGGGCCCTGGCCAAGGGCTTCGTGCGGCCCGCCCCGGGGCCCGCGGCGGCGGAGCTGGCCTTCTCCAGCTTCCTCCTGCAGTGCTTCCTGGGGGCCGTGTGGCTGGCCCTGAGCAGCGAGGTCAAGAACAAGGAGCTGCCGCAGTACCTGGCGCTGACCCCGAGGAAGAAGAGGCCCTATGACAACTGGCTGGAGGGCGTCCCGCGCTTCCTGGCCGGGCTGATCTTCCAGCCGCGCCCGCGCTGCCTGGGCGCCCTGGTCGGGCCGGCGGAGGCCGCAGCGGCGGACCGGAAGCGGAAGGTGCTCACCAGGTACCTGAAGCAGCTGCAGCCGGGGGCGCTGCGGGCCAGGCGGCTGCTGGAGCTGCTGCACTGCGCCCACGAGGCCCAGGAGGCCGGCATCTGGCAGCACGTGGTGCGGGAGCTGCCCGCCCGCCTGTCCTTCCTGGGCACGCGGCTCACGCCCCCCGACGCGCACGTGCTGGGCCGGGCCTTGCAGGCGGCGGGCCAAGACTTCTCCCTGGACCTGCGCAGCACCGGCATTGACCCCTCTGGACTGGGGGACCTCGTGGGACTCAGCTGTGTCACCCGCTTCAGGTGGGGGCAGGGGGCGGGGAAACGGGTCTCCCTTGTGCTGGGCACCGCGGTGGTCTTGGTGCTGGGCCTAGTGCTCGCTCTTTGGGGTCCCGTGTCCTGTGCACAGCAGCCAGGTGGGGGAGGATGGATCCGCCCCGCGTTCACGATGACGATGCTGAGGCTCAGAGAGGGGCAGCTGCTTGGCCAAAGCCACGCAGCAGTGAGGGGCAGAATTGTTCTTCCAACCAATATTTGAAGGCCCACCATGTGCCAGGCACCGGGCCGCATCTAGAATCCAAGACTGACCTGGGTTCAAATTTGTTTTCTTCTCTTTATCCACTGATCAAGGCACCATGTTCTCAGGCTTAGATGAAAGCCAGAGCCTCCCCTTGGCCTCCCTGCCTCCATTCTCTCCTCTTCCTCTCCATTTTATTATGTCCAGCCTCCAGTGCAATCTTCCCAGAACTTAAATCTGATCATATCACACCCCTGCTGACAGCCCCTCAGGGGCACGCTACTGTCCTCAGGATGGAGTCTAAATTTCTTCATTTGGTGCACTTAAGTCTTTCTGCAGTCTGCTTGAGCACTTCAGCTTCATGGTCAGAGAATCGCTGCCACATTCCCCCTAAACATACTTTACCCAAGCTGTAAAGTCCTATACAATTGTGCCAAGATCTTAACACTGAGTTTCCTGGTAGCCAAAGCAAAAAGGGAAACAAAACCACTGTGAGAGTTGCCAGAAAGGAGGACTCCACTAGGGTGGTCATGGAAGGCTTTCTGGAGGAGGCTAAGCTAAGAAAGGAAAGTATCTGAATAGGTAGGAGGTCCCTTCATGGAGCTGCCCCTCCATTATGGTCTAGCCCGGGCACCGTGCCTGGGTCTGAGGCCCTCCCTCCACAGGGCTGCCTTGAGCGACACGGTGGGGCTGTGGGAGTCCCTGCGGCAGCGTGGAGAGACCGAGCTACTCCAGGCGGTGGAGGAGAAGTTCACCATCGAGCCTTTCAAGGCCAAGTCCCCGAAGGATGTGGAAGACCTGGGCAACCTCGTGCAGACGCAGAGGTGAGGGGGGCGAGGGGAGGGGAGATGGTCCAGGCCATGCATGTGGAGGACACACGGGGCCCATCATCGAGACTGTCACGGGCATTTCCAGTGCCTCGTCTCCTTTGGGACACCCTGTGTCCTCCTCCTGGGCGATGGCTCCCCCGGACATCTCACCGCAGTCGCCGCCCAGGCCAAGCCTGCCGGATTGAGCGCTTTGCTCCGATTAAAGTTTGCCCCACCGTGTGCCCAGTTCTTCTTCGGCTAAAGCCAAGGAGATACTCTCCCCTTCTGGGAGTGAACAAGGATGCCTCGTGCCTCTGGTAACAGAAGAGACACCCGCTGCCACCCTTTGAGGCATTTAGGACCAGCATCACTCCCATTTTATAGCCGGCAGAGTAAGATCCAGAGGGCAGAGGACGCTTGCCCACAGAACGCGTCAGCTGTGGGTCACTCCTCGCTTCCTCTCGCACGGTTGCGTGCGGTCTGGGCTAGGCGCTGGTGAGAGCCCACTCGGAGGCTGTTTTCCAGGAAACACAGTCCTGAGATTTTTCTTTTCAATAGGGCCCAACAATAGCCCCAAGGCAGGCCATCCCCCCAGGGCGTTTTGGGGACTGGGCAGCCACCATGGGGCCCACGAGTAAGGGCTGGGTGGCAGAAGAGCCTGTCCCTCCAGCACCAACACTGCCCGCTCTCTCCAGGACGAGAAGTTCCTCAGACGCAGCCGGGGAGCTCCCCGCCGTGCGGGACCTACGGAAACTGGAGTTTGCGTAAGCGAAGGGGTGGAGTGTCTCGGGTCGCCACGCGGCTTCCTGTCCCTCGGGCGCTGGGCTTGTGCCACTAGAGTCGACATGGGCGTCCAGGGCCGTCCTCACCCCTCGCCCACTGCCTTGGAAGCCAGCACTGGACCGCGGCCGTCTGGGCAGGCGCGGATGTGCTCGGACTCTGAGCTCACAGGCTTGCCGGGCACCTGGGGAATGGGCGAGGCCGCTGTCCTCCGTGAGCTTGCAGCCTAGTCAGCACCCGTCCGGAAGGGCTCCGGGGGCCTTCCTGGGGGAGGTGCTGCCTGCATCGAAGCTTGACCAAGGAGAAGGAATGAGCCAAGTGGGGAGAGGGGAGGGAGAAAGGCCTTCCAGGAATTGTAATTCAGCCAGGGGTAGGAGAAGGGCCCAATGTGTCCCCAGTTGTGACCTTCTGTAGGAGGATGCTGCTGTGACCACTGCTTGAGTCCTTTCCCCTGCTGTGGCCAGGGACTGCATACGCCCCTCGTGCCTGAGCTTGCTTATGTCCATGCCCAAGGGATGGGCTCCCCAGGGGCGGGGCCACTAAAGTGGGCGGGGCCACCCACTAAAGCCCAGGTGCCTGCCCCACCTCCGGGCACTGGTTCCCCCCCCCCCCACAACACAGCAGAATCACTGGTGGTTCCAGTCATTCCAGGGCTCAAACCTCACCCCAACCCAGCCACTCAGACTGGAGAATCCTCCCCCAGTATGAAGGATTCCCAAGAGCTTGCGCTGCGCAGTTGGGGTGAACGAGCACCCGGCTCGCCTAGGACTGGTTCTAGCACTGCAAGTCTCGTATCCCAGGAAACCCCTCCATCCCGGGCAAGCCAGGACAGCTGGCCACCCTGTGCGAGGCCAGCGCTGGGCACCAACATCCTAGGTGGTGCTGCAAGGGTGACAGCAACAAAGGCCTCAGTAGGCTCTAGAGCCCCCAGTCGTGCCTGGGTCACCCTGGAGGTGCAGCCGGGCCCCGGGAGTGCGCTCATTGTCGTCGCTTCCTTAGCTTGTCGATGTGCAAAACACCTTCACCTCTGTCATCTCAGCTGACCCTCCTCTGGGGCTATGACTGTCACCTCCCGGTTGTACACATGGCAACACCGAGGCCCAGAGAGTTTACATTGTTTGTCCAAAGTCATAAAAGTCAGGCCAGCCTGGCCCCAAGCTCCAACCAAGGGAAACGCTAAGTTAGTGTTTGGTTCTTGTCAAAGGTCTAAGATCGTCTCATGATGAGGAAGGCTTTATTAAGCACCTGGTGTATTCAGTGCATTTTACACATAAGCTCATCAGTCTCAAGAGCTACCGTGGGAGACAGACATTATCCTCCCCATTTTACAGATGAGGAAACTAAGGCCCGGCCAGGTTAAGTGACTTGCCCGTGGTCCCCCGGCTGGTCACCCACACGCTTCCCTCGTGCCCCGGAAAAAGCCAGGCGTCTCTTGTTTTGAACAAAGGGCCAAATTTGTGCGGAGGTAAAAGTGTCGCTGAAAAGAGGAAATGTATGAAAACAATCATGAAGGGCCCTTTCTGGCCTTGAATTATTTTCAGCTTAGAAAGCCCCTAGTTGGAGGCGGGAACTGCGCTCTGGCGAGCAGCGGCAACGGGGCAGAGCTGCCTAGAGCCGCCCCAGCCACCTGCAGGCCGGAAGCCCCGAGAAAGTTCTGAGGAAGGAAGGAAGGAAGGAAGGAAAAGACTATTTCCGGCACCTGTTCTGGCAGCCACTGTGCCGGGCGCCCTGTGGCCCCGGGCTGCCCCTGGGCCGCTGGAAACCCCGCAGGGACCCCAGTCACACGCACCCTTCCCTGTGCACCCTGAACTCTCTCCCCTGCTCACTCCCACCCAGCCTCGGGGGCCTCCCCACTGGTCTTCAGCCTCCCAGGGCAAGGTCCTGCCTCCGGGCCTTTGCGCTGGCCGTTCCCTGCGCCTAGAATGCTCTTCCCCAGACACCTGCCCGGCCCGGCCCAGCTCACCCCCGCGCCTCCCGTGCTCTTTCTCAGTAAGGCCTTTTCTGACCCTGCTATTTAAAAAACGGAATCTCGCCCCCTCGCCACGGTGCTTGCTCTGCGTGGCCGGCCAAGCCAGACACCAGATCTCTTCCCCGCCGAGCTGCGCGTCAGCTCCCCACCGCCAGGGGTTTCGTCTGTCCCGTGCGTGCGAGGCTCTCTCCCCTGGGCCTGGCTCGGTGGGCGAGGGGCAGACGCGTGGGGATGAGTTTCTCCATCCTTCCAACAACCGTACAAGGTCGGGGCGGCCGAGACCCAGAGGCGAAGGCGTTTGCCGGAGACCCCGGCATCCGGCTCGGACCCCGTGGCCTTCCCGGACTTTGGGATGTCAGAGACCAAGAACTTCGCAGAATGAATCTGAGTGACCATGCAGATACCATCTTTTAGTTTTTATCAAGTGTATTTATTCAAACAAACAACCAACCAACACGGTAACCACTGCTGGTCCTATACTTTTATTAAAGAATGATCATTTTAATATGAGAAAAGTTCAGAAGACATAATGTTAGAATAAAAGAGAGGTCTTTACATTGAATACATTTAACCATATTATTGAAACAAAGCAAAACAGCCCTTCCCTGTCCTTATTTCTCTCATTCCCTCAAGGTCTGGTCTGTATGACCTTGTGTAAGCTATTTAACCACTCCGTGCCTCAGTTTCCCCATATGTAAAACGGGAGGGGGGAGAAGAGCACTCAGCTCAGAGTTGTGAGAATTAAATGAGATCTAGGCTGTGTGAAGGACTCTGCACGTGCTCAACGAAGGGCTGGTTTTGTTACTAAAATGCAAAGACAAGCGCACCGTCTGGTTCACCACTTGCGGTGGTCCTCAGCCGGCCTGTGGGGGCCGCTCCCCCAGGCTGGGCGGGGAGGGTGTGTGTGGGTGTGGGCAGGAGAACCGGCTCCAGGGGGCTTTGTGAAATCTGCCCCAAGCAAAAGGGGCGGGCGCCCCACAGGGGAGGGCTGGGGGGAGGTGAGAGGCGAGAGGCAGGGAAGGGGAGGGGGCTTGGATAGGGCCCGGCCTCTGTGCCCGTCTCTGCCCCACGTGGGGCTGCGCCGAGGGCCGGCCTGTTCCGGGGTCTCACCCTGCTCTTTGCCTCCTAGGTTGGGCCCCACCGCAGGCCCCCAGGCCTTCCCCAAACTGGTGAGGATCCTGGCGGCCTTCTCCTCCCTCCAGCATCTGGAGTGAGTATGGCCCCGCCCGTCCCCTCCTCCTCGGGGTTCTGATGCCCCCTAGGCACCACGCGGCACGTGGGAGGAGCAGAGCCCTCTCTTTCCCCCTTTCTCTCTCCCGCCCCTCTGCTTCCTCTGCGTGGCTGGGGGAGAGACCAGATGACTCCACTGCAGGCAAGGGGCAGCGGATGGGGATCTCCAACAACTAAAAAAGTTTGGGGTCCTTTTGTGACCTTTGGAACTCTTTCCCCTCATTTGCAGCTGGGGAGGCGGGAGGGGCGAGGGGGGAGCACGATCCCACTTCACAGCGGATGTCCCAAGAGTTAAGGAAGCTGCCCAAGCCGGGGGGGTGGGGGGGCTGAGAAGCAAACCAAGCATTGCGGGCCAGAGGGCGCCCTCAGGTGACAGTCCTGGTCTCCAGGGCTCCCGACTGGGCCGTCTGCCTGTGCAGTGTCCAGGGCTGGGGGCGGGAGGGCAGGTGGCCTCCCAGGCGCTGGCTGACGGTCTGCGTCTGATTCCACCTGCAGCCTGGACTCGCTGAGCGAGAACAAGATTGGGGACGAGGGCGTCGCGCAGCTCTCAGCCACCTTCCCGCAGCTGAAGGCCCTGGAAACCCTCAAGTGAGTGGGCTGGGCCTGCCCTCCCTCCGCCTCTGGCCCCCAAAGGCCAGCCGGCTTTTGTATTCTTCCATTCTCTCGACCCTTCAATCAACCATTCATCCTTCCATTTGATTATTCATTCATTCACTCACGCATTCATCCAACCACTCACTCAATCATTCCTTTACTTAGTCATCCACTCAGCCGCTCATTTATTACTTTAAATCAAGAAATACATAAGGAGCGCCTACCACCGTGTTTCCCCGAAAATAAGACAGGGTCTTATATTTATTTTTCCTCAAGAAGACACCCTAGGGCTTATTTTTAGGGGATGTGCTATTCTTTTTAAGTGTGGTACAACCATCTACATTTATTCAAATAGAGTTAAGGCGTCTTCTTCTGGAACATCATCATAACTCCCCGAACCCCGAATTCCATCCTGAGTTTCTTGCGACTCTATTTCCTTTAGAACCGTTGGCCCCAGTCTCTCCTGTCGAGCAATAGAGCCCTCGTGGGGCACATGAGAAGGGCTGCTCATCTTTTTGACCGCTGTGGGCCGAAATGCACGGGTTGTGCAGACGCGCTGCGTAGCCCCGCCCGTCACTAGGGCTTATTTTCGGGGTAGGGCTTCTACTGCATGAATGCTTAGAAATCCTGCTAGGGCTTATTTTATGTGTGGGTCTTATTTTCGGGGATGTGTTTCCACCATCCTAGGCCCTGGAGGCCAGCTTTAAACAAAACAAAGAAATCTCCTGCCCTCAGGGATCTTAACTTCTAGGGAGGAGACACAACAGCCAATCAAACAAATAAACAAGCCCATAATCATAAAGTATAACAGTAATGAAAATGAAATGTAGTGACAGAAAATTACACTGGGAGTGAAATAGGAGAGGTAAGTTAGGATTTATCAGTAAAACATTTTTATCAAAATGGTAAATTTTTTTTTTAACTCTTCTGGGCTTTGGGAAGTTGGAGATGGATAAGATGTAGGAGGGTCAAGGCAACATTTTACTGAACTTGGAAGGTGTCAAGCCTTCCCACACTCCCGCTTGTAACCAAGGTCGGGATGGCTGAGGAATTCACCAGAATTCATTTAGCGACTTCCTTAACTGTGGGACGCTGATCCTTCTCCAGTAATATCTAGTGTTCTAGGCGACGATGCAGGGGGCTAGATTCCCTCTCTTCGTCCTGCCTTCCTTCTCCTCTCCCCTATCTGTTCTCCCCGCCCCCAAGTGTTTACTGAGCACCTACTATGTGCTTGGCACTGCGCCAGGCACAAAGATACAGCAGAGAATGGAGCAGACACAGCCCCTCTGCTTGTGGAGCCCACAGCCTGGCAGAAAGGACAGCCCTTAAACAAATAACACACTTATTTAGTTACAGTGCTGGAAAGTGGTCGGTGGGGGGGGGAGAGGGAATGCTGTAAAATCATAAAACATCATCCCATCATCCCACGTCGCCACAGGACGGAACAGTATCCTTTTATGTATTAAGAGTTAGCGGAGGCCGGGCGCGGTGGCTCACGCCTGTAATCCTAGCACTCTGGGAGGCCGAGGCGGGTGGATTGCTCGAGGTCAGGAGTTCGAAACCAGCCTGAGCAAGAGCGAGACCCCCGTCTCTACTAAAAATAGAAAGAAATTAATTGGTCAACTAATATATAGAGAAAAAATGAGCTGGGCATGGTGGCGAATGCCTGTAGTCCCAGCTACTTGGGAGGCTGAGGCAGGAGGATTGCTTGAGCCAGGAGTTTGAGGTTGCTGTGAGCTAGGCTAATGCCACAGCACTCACTCTAGCCCGGGCAACAGAGTGAGACTCTGTCTCAAAAAAGAAAAAAAAGAGTTAGCGGAAGTCTATCGACAGCGCCAGTGGCAATTTATCACCCAGGACTCTCCCCGAGGTTGAGTGTCACGTGTTTGCTGCTATGGGCCACCCATTGGGGAAGGAGGGTTTTTGGGCTCCACCTGGGCTGGGCGGATGGATGGATGGATGCTGGTGGGGGAGGGGCAGACAGGCTGGGTCCTGAGCCCTCCCCCTGCCGTGTCCCCGCAGCCTGTCCCAGAACAGCATCACCGACGTGGGCGCCTGCAAGCTGGCCGAGGCCCTGCCTTCGCTCGCTGCGTCCCTGCTCAGGCTGAGGTGAGCGGGCCATGGTCACGGTCACGGGTCAGGTGCAGAGCTGCCCGGCTGGGGGAGGGCAGGGAGCAGCCTCGCGCTGGCTGTGGGTTAGACAGGGGGACCCTAGAAGCAATCACCCCGACCCCGAACAAGAGGATTAGCAGGACCCAGGGCAGGAACTCTGGGCGAGTGGCTTATTCATTCTTAGCCTCTGTTTGCTCATCTGGAAAACGGGAACCAGCCCAGCGGCCTAGGTGAGGTGCTTGGCACAATGCTGGCCCCTGGTGGGCAACACGCATTGGTCCTCTTGCCCCGGGGAAAGGCGAGAGACCAGGCTTTTTCCCTCCCAGTTTAGGGTGGCGGCCCCTGAAAGCTGAGCGCGCACCAGCCGCCTTGGCGGGCCTCGTTCTCGCACCCCGGCAGTGCCTGCACTGCCACCTTCTGCTGGGCCTTGGCATAGCACCTCTCGCTGTTGAGGTTTTCTAGCCCGACCTTGGTGTGGAACCAGACACTATGAGGGCGCTGACCTGGGACCACAGCCCCAGTCGCTCAACTCAGATCACCAGCCGTCCTCGCTCTCCAGGCGGGGGGGCACTGCCTCCCTCATGCTAGCCCTCCCACAGCCAGAATCAGATTCCCAGGAAAGGTCCCCATGGCGTCTTGCCCATCTCTGTTGATGCCCATCTCGGTTCATGTGTCCTTCCGGCCGGGATCGCCGTGTGCGGCTGTGCAGGTTGTGTACTGCCCAATGGGCAGTCTGTGAGATTGGTGACACCCCCTCGCCCAGAGCTGTGCAAGGCATCCCGTAGTCTCTGACACGAACCGTGGGCCAGAACCCGTGCTGGGACCAGAGATAACAGCTACCAGCAAGACGGATGCGGTCCTCGCTTTCAAGTCTCTTGAATGGGTGAACACATGCACGGATGAAATATTTTAAAACAGTGGTTCACGCCGGGAAGTGCGCTAACAAGGCCCAGGAGGGTACTGCGGAGAGTGTGGAATTCAGGAGAGATCAGGGCGCCTCTGGGGAGGTGCTTCCTCTGTGGGAGGCTCTAGGGGGAAAGCGCTCCAGGAGGAGGGAACAGCAGGTGCGAAGGCTCTGAGCAGGGAAAGAGGTTGGGTTTCTGAGGGGCAGAAGGGCCACTGTGGCTGTCCGGAGTGAATGGGGACAGAGGGAGGGAGAGGCCAGCAGGTCTAGAGCGCACAGGGGGGCGTCTGTAGTTTGTTCAGTGGGAATGGAGAAGCGGGTGGGCGTGGGGAGGTGAGACTGGATCTGATTTACACTAAGAAATAGCGTATCTCATGGAATCCACGGTGCCGCTCACCACAAGACCCCATTAGGAAGACAAAATGCTGCCGGTGAAACTATGGCACGCTATTGGTTATAAGACACACCCCGACCTCAGTGACACTCAAATGAGGACGCGTGTGTCCTGGCATCAGGGAAACAGGGTCGGCGCACTCTGCCTGCAGCTGGGAGGACGGGCCTCCTGGGTCGGGAGTCCTGTCCCAGGAAGAGCTACTCAAGCCCCACCTGGCGTCTGCCCCGATGCCAGCCGAGCCGGCCGGTGATCTCCGGGGCCGCGGATGCTGGAGTTTAGCACGTGTCCACTCAGCGGCAGCGGGGACCTGCTGCTTTCACGGCGGCCCGCAGAGCAGCTCCGGGGCTGAGCCACGGCCCTGGCTCGGAGTCGGGGCCCTGGCTCGGAGTCGGGGCCCTGGCTCGGAGCCGCGGGGCATCTGGCCGGGGAGAGGTTCATTCCGGGTGCCCGGGCGCACTTGGAGTATTTTATCAGCATTGACTCACTCGCTCCTCCTTACAATCCCTTGATTGTGCCCATTTTACAGACGGGCCAACTGAGTCTCAGAGGAGTTGAGTGCCTTGCCCGAGACCACACAGGCAGTAAGAGGCATAGGTGGGATTTGAACTCGGGAAGTCGTTCCCCCCAGGGTTTCCACACTGTCAGCCAGGACAGGACATCCTTTTAGTTCTACTGTGGTCCTTTTTGGTTCTACTGCTTCCCCTGGACTCCACCGTGTGACCACAGAGAAGCAGCCTCAACTCTCTGGGCCTCGGTTTGCCCCTCTGTAAAATGGGGCAGTGAGCCCAGCTGGGCCCCGATCCCCCTCCCCCCCAGCAACGCCAAGCCCTCCCCCTGGCTTCTGTTTCCGGCAGCTTGTACAACAACTGCATCTGCGACGCGGGGGCCGAGAGCCTGGCTCGGGCGCTGCCGGACATGGTGTCCCTCCGCGTGGTGGAGTGAGTGCGGGTCCGGGTGCCGGGAGGGGCTGGGTGTGCTGGCGGCCTGGCATGGCGCTGGGCGGTGCCCAGGGCCAGGCCCCAGGACGGTCTCTCCCCTCAGCGTGCAGTACAACAAGTTCACGGCCGCCGGGGCCCAGCAGCTTGCCGCCAGCCTGCGGAAGTGCCCTCGCGTGGAGACGCTGGCGTAAGTCTGGGCGGCTCTGCAGGCGCGGGTGCGCGGAGACCCCGGCTCTGCAGGCGCGGGGCTCAGCCTGAGAGCGGAGCTCAAGTCCCCGTCCTCCCCTCACCGGGCTGCGACCTTGGGCCAGCAACCCCTTCGTCCTTCTGGACTCGCTTTCGTTACCTGTGAAATGGGGGGATAATAATATACACCCCGAGAGGTTTCATGAGGTTTAAATGTGTCGAGAGCACATAAAGCTCTTAGAACAGAAAAATGTTCAGTAAAAGCTATGTAAGGGTGAACCATATGAAACTGCCTACATCTGGCCGTTTCTGACCTATGAAATGGGCAATTTCATATGGCTCCAGCTGATTTTTCATTAAGTCACTATGATGTCTACTGTCCAGCAGTGACACTTTATATGCTTTCAAAGCACTTTCACCTGCATAACCACGTGTGTCTTCTAAGATGGACGGGGTGGGTCTTATGGGACCCATTTTACAGATGGGCCAAATAAAGCACAGAGCAGTTAACTAAGCTATTTGAGGTCACACAGCAAGTCAGCAGCAGAACCAGAAAGGGGTTCCTGGGCTCCTGGGCCTCTGCCTTCCCCAGGAACCCACACTGGTCTGCACCCTGCCAGGTGGGAAGTCCCCAAGGTTCTAGGCTGGGTGGGAGGAGGGATTTGGGGGCAGATTTCGTTGGAACTCCAGGCTACCTCTCTCCTCTAACCTGGGCTTTGTGTCCTATGCCCCCTTGCAGGATGTGGACACCCACTATCCCATTTGGTGTCCAGGAACACCTAAAACAGCTGGACTCACGGATCAGCCTGAGATGACCCCAGCTGTGCTCTGGACAAGGTAACCAGGCTGGGCTCTGGAGGGGAGAACCACAGGGGCCCCTGGGGACAGTGTCCCTGGGAGGGCAGTATCCATAGAGAAGGGGTGCCAGGTGGGCTGGGTGACCACCTGTGGACTTGCCACCGTCTCCACACAGGGCTAGTGGAGGTGTCCTCCAGGGTTTGTGGACTTGGTCCCCGAGGGTCCTCCTTGTAGTCAGGCTTAGCAACCAGGGGAAGGACCGGGAAGGCCGGCCATCCATGTCCTTAGCTTTGGGAAGACCTTTCTTTGGGGACTTCTAGGCCTTTCTTGCTGCTGTTCAGCTTGTTGGCTGCCCTGATGGCCCTGGATTCATCTGTCACTAAGAAGATGACTGTCCCCTCGCCCTGTGTGCCCACACTGTGCTGTCCATCGCCCTCTGACTCCCCTCTCTTCCACTGTTCCTCCCATCCCCCACCTCGATAGGCGTCTGGTCCCCTCCTCCGTCCTGGCTCACTGCCCTCTCCGGCTCCTTCCCTGCAGCACATTCTCTGGAGACACTGACTGTGCTGGACCTTGAACTGGGCACTTGAGGACACAGCTCTTCTCAGGGGTGTACCCCGTGCGTGTCAGTACCCGGCGCCCAGTGCCTGCACGTTCGGGGCTGGCCCTGCCCGCAGCAGAGCAAACCGCGTCTTGCTGACAGACACCGGCCCGGCTCCAGGCCTCCTCGGGGCCCTGACGGGTGCACACTGGTGGCCGCTACGGTCCTCCCGGGAGCCCTGAGCCCGTCCCTGCAGGACACTCTAGACAGCCACGGCCAGTCCAGAGTGAGGAGGTGAGGCAGCCACACGTGGGCCTGCCCACCCCCTGCCAGCCTGCTGAGAAAGCTCTTCGGCCACTGCTCTCGGCCACACGCCCGGACAGGGCACTCTTGGCGCCGTGAACACACGGGCGGGCAACCCCCGGCCGGCTGGTCCCCCAGACCACGGTGGGCTGGGGTGCTGCGGCAGCTGCTTTTGTCTGTGGGACTCGCTGGGCACTCACTTTGTTGTTCGAGGCCAAGGCCAGGCCTGGCCAGCTGCCCTGGGCCTCAGCAGCGAAACAGGTGACGGAACACTACTGGATGGGGACTGGGACAGACAGGAGCCAACGCTTCGTCTCCTGTGTCTCTTTTCACTACATTATAAATTCTCATTTAACCTCACGGGCAGGTCCAGGGTCTCCGTTTATACTGTGATTACCACGTTGGGGGACCCGCTGTTCTGTCTAAATGTGTAAAAACCACCCCCAACCATGGCGGCTTAAAACCACACACGCTTCTTCTGCTCACACACCTGCCATTTGGGCAGGGTTTGGTGGGGACAGCTCATCTCCGTCCCACTCAGTGTCAGCTGCGGCAGCTGGAGGGCCGGACTCGGGTCGTCGGAAGACTGGGTCACCTGCACGCCGGGCATGGGATGCTGGCTGTCAGCTGGGGGCCTCTCCATGTGGGTAGCACGGTGGCTGGGCAGAAGGGTGACCACCCAAAAAGAGAGAGAGGGAGAGAAAAGGAGAGAAAAAGGGAGCAGGGAGAGAGAGACCACAAGAGAGAAGCAGAACCCTCTTCATGACCTGGCCTTAGAAGTCACACAGGACCACTTCTGCCGTATTCTATGGCCAGTGTGACCCCATCAGCACACACATGTGCATGGACACACACACACACACACACACACACACACACACGGCGGAGTCCACTTGGGCCCAAGACCTATCTTTTCTGAAACGATTTTCTCTGTGACTTCCTAAGATTCAGTGGAAGATTCATTACCTGGGGGTCCGAAGGGTTTCAGTGCCATGCGCTGTGCCAAGGGGATTGTTTTCTTTTGCCTCTGACGCACGGCTCTGCCCTGGGAGCCACTTCCTAGCCACGCTGGAGCCCCGCCCAGGCTGCAGTGAGCCCCACAGGGACTTGGCAGCCCTGCTTTCCACCGGCCAGCAGCCACCGGGCTGCGGGGCTTCACTGGGCCGTGGCCTGCTCAGCCAGAGGCCCCAGCGTGGGGCCGCTTGGCGTCCGCCTGCTGGCAGCGTCAGCTCCGCACGCCAGCCCGAATGCCCACAGGGTCAGCCCGGCTCCTGAACTCTGCCCCTTTTCCCAGCAAGTGAGAGTTGCGAGTCGGGAGGGGCAAAGGATTCAGGCCCGGCTGCCCCGTTGGCAGTCCTGGGGGGAGGCGGGTGCCTGCTGGCTTGGCCAGCTGCAAAGGGTGTCAGGCGTTGCCACCCTGGTCCTGTTGTAAATCACCTGGGCATCACCTCTCTGGGTGTCCCTGCATTCACAGACTCTGTGGAGTCCACGGATCTCCCGTATGTGTGGCCACAGGGTGAGCACCTGGCCACTCTCCGCTGCAGGCATCTCCAGGTGGGTACTGTTGGCCGATGGGTGCAGGGTGGGTACCTGCTTTTGGTCTGTTTGGAGATGATGAAATGAGGCTGGAGGCTACAATGATTATTTTATTTTTTTTGAGACAGTCTGGCTCAATTGCCCCAGGTATGGTGCAGTGGTGTCATCGTAGCTCACAGCAACCTCAAACTCCTGGGCTCAAGTGATCCTCCTGTCTCAGCCTCCCGAGTAGCTGAGACTACAGGCACATGCTATAATGCCCAATTTTTCTATTTTTTAAAAAAAATTTTCTATTTTTAGTAGAGACTGCTCTAGAACTCCTAAGCTCAAGCAATCCTCCTGCCTCGGCCTCCCAGAGTGCTGGGATTACAGGCATGAGCCACCGTGCCTGGCCAATAATGATTTATTTAGTGACAGTTACCACTTATTTAATGAGTTGATACATGTAAAGCACTTATCACAGTGCAAGGGAGTTGCTAAGAGCTCAATAAATAGTAGCAATTATGATTAGCAGGTGCCAGGCACCACGCTAAGCTCTTCCTGCCTGGGAGGAGTGAGGGTCCAGGGCAGGGGTCCTCAAACTTTTTAAACAGGGGGCCAGGTCACTGTCCCTCAGACCATTGGAGAGGGCGGCGCACATTCCACACATGCGCACTGTGGGCCCAGGACGGGTCAGCTGCTAAGCAGGACAGGCAGCGGTGGCAAAAACACCTGGTGTCCAGATAAATGTCCTCGGAGGGCCGCATGTGGCCCTCGGGCCGTAGTTTGAGGACGCCTGGTCTAGAGTCAGTGCCACAGGCTCTAGGGCAGGTTGCCTTTGCTCAGTGTCAAGCTCACCACTTATGTAAGGTACTTCTCTGTGCCTCAGTCTCCTCATCTGTAAAGTGGGCACAATCACAATACCTTCTTCATAGGGTTATGTGAAGATTCAGTGACCTAATTACATTGAGAAAAAGTGCCTGGCACAGAGGTCCACACGTGTTAGCTGCATTATTACACACGTTCATGCATTTCATTCTTGCCTCCGCCTGGAATGTTCTTCCCAGCACTTCACACGGCCGACTTCTTTTCCTCCTTCAGGACTCACGTTAGGGGACAGCTCCCCATGAAGGTCTACCTGACCACCCTACTAAACACAGACACCCCTCTGCCCCCGCCCTCCGACCCTTCACTATCTCATCTTTCTCACACGTACTTAAGCACTGTCTGCTCTTGTCCTAGGATGTGAGCTCTAGAAGGGCAGGAACTTTGCTTTGTTCACTGCTGTGCCCTCAGCGCCCAGCAAGGCGCCTGTGCACAGTAGGTGCTCAATAATAAATGCGGAATAAGCAAATAATCCTCACTATAACTTTGCTTTGTTCATTCTACAATTACGTACTGAGTACACTGTGGCGAATAGGATGTCCTGCCCGGTGAGCCTTGCATTTTAGCAAATTAAAAAAAAAAAAAAAAAAAATACTCTGGATAGGGCTGCCAGGTATGGTTGGGTGGTCTGTGTACTGCACAAAGGCACCTGCACAGGGGGGTAACTGCAGGCTGCAAACCCGTCTGGGCTCTGCTTACCAAGCTGAGTCCTGGTGTGGAGCCTGGTCAGTCCAGAGGGGCACCTTCTACAGTGGACACAAAGTGATAAGAGGTGGATAAAGTACTGTCCCCATGTTACAGATATGGACGACATTTATAGGTCGCAGCCCCATAAAAGAAGGAATGAAGATGTTAACTAGAACGCTGACTTCCTCGGAGACTCTCTGTGCAGGCCTGGGCACGGTGCGCTGGACAGGCCCCGGACCCCATCTCTTAGGCGAAGTGATGCTCAGAGGGGTGAGGGCTCCACGTCCAGTGGATTTTAAGTCTGTGCACTTCTAGGCCCTCCCCTTTCCCCTCAGGGCTCTCTCCGACAAACGTCGCCCTTCTTGTGTGCACCATTCCCCTTGGGCCTCTCCCATGTCTTCTTTCCAGTTCTTAGCAGCCCCTTCCGTAGACTCACATGAGGACAGGAGGTGCTGCTACTGTCTTTCCTCCACAGTTCTGCCGCACCCGCACTCGCCCACACCTGTCTCGCCTGCAGGATGGGGTTAACCATCCGTACCTCGCTTAACCCAGTGCGTACGGGCAGGTGCTTTGCAAATCATCGAGTGCCCTGCAAACTGGAGAGGATTGCTGCTGTGTCCCCATGAAACTGCACGTTGACCCAATTTCACGATTATTCATTTATTTCTTCCTTCCCTCCCCCTGCCTTCGCCTCGTCTTTGATAGAGGTCTACCGTGTACCCGGCAGGGGGGACATACACTTCCACCTCTGTGGGATTCAGGCCACATTTCCAGCTTGGCCACCAGGCCTTTCCCACCACACCCCAAAGGCTGCCCCCCTGGCTTGCGGAGCTTGTGGGAGCTGGGAGGGGGGCCAGTCTGGGACTCCGGTGCCAGCCTCTCGGGGTACTCTCCAAACCCCGCCGGATCTCCAACTTGGAAGACCCTGACTCTTCTTCTCTTTGTCAACCCTGAGGTTCTGCATAAGGACACATTCCCCAATGCCAAAGGAAAAAAAAAACAACAAGGCAGGGCCCCCAGGGCATGGAGTTGCATACACTTTTTAATCAAAAGAAGTCAGCCTCCTAAGTATTGCTTTTACAGGTTTATCGAAATCAAGTATTCACACCACTCACGCTTTCCGAAAAGTATTTCCAGCCCGGGGAGCCACACGGCCCTCCCCAGCGCGATGTCTCGCTTTTGCCAACTTGAGGAATAAGCAGCTTGAAAAAAAGAAGTCAAAACCCTACCCTCGGCCCCGACAGCGTCCTCAGCTTCTTTTTCTTCTGAGTCACTCCCTGAAACAGTCCCTGCATGTAAGACCAGCCTCGGGCTCAGCCCAGCCGGGCTTAAGGCTCAACTGGCATCCAACGGAAGTCGCTTTTGTGCGTGTCCGCTGTTTGAGGTGTCCTCTCCGAGGGCTAAGTGGGGGGAGCAGGCGCGGCCGGGGGTGAAGTGCAGGGAGGCAAACTTTGGCTGGGTTCCTGTAAACATCCGCCGTGCCCGCAGGGTCCCAGGCCGAGGCCGGGCCGTCTGTGGCACACTGCAGGCAGACGCGGTCCCTGGGGTCCCCTGGCCTTCCCCCTTCTCCAGGGACAGGCACTCAGTCCCCATCTCTCCTTCCGCCCTCCTGGGTCCAGACGGGAACCAATCTGTTGGCACGAAGCTTTGGAGGGGAGCAGGCCTGATGAGAAGGAAAAATGGCAGTCACTAGCGTGGAAGCCCCACCCTGCTGCCAGTCTGCCTAGGGACAAGCCACCAGGCCTCAGGAGGCTCTGGGGGAGGCAGGGAAGTCCTCCCCTACCTCCTGAGTTCAGTAAACCACTGGAAGCCCCAGATTCGGGGTGGGGATGTTTTTCTGCAATTTTTATTACCAACTCTTTTCAATGAATTTGCATCATTTCTAAGACACCCTGGCCAGGAGAACTGGTGCAGTTTCACATGGGGGAGGAAGGACTGTTTGTATACTGGGAGGGAGGCGGGTTGCTGGTGCTCAGGGAAGGAGTGCAGCCTGCGCAGGGGTCACCCGGGGTCTGCTGGCTGACAACGTGAGGCTCAAGGAAGCTGAGTGAGTGCAGGGTGGGGGGGAGCTTGGCAGCGCCTCCCACCTTGCCCGGAAAGTGCTCTGCGGCCTGTAGGAAGGCTCTGGCCATAGCCGGCTTGGCAGCCCCACTCAGCTGCTCCTCCCAGGACACAGCAGTCTCATGGCCTGGCCCTTAGCGGGTCCTCCTTCCCCACTCCCTTCTCTCTGTGCCCACCCTGCTCACAGCCCCCACGAGTCCTGCCCCACCCAGTTCTGAGGCTATCTTTGCCAGCTCAGACTATTCCTTCTGCAAACGTGATCGAGCATCAAACAGAACTTACAGGTTAAACGTGTAACGTGTATTGTTCAACAGGGCGCTATTTTTTTTTTTAAGAAATAGGGTCTCACTATGTTGCTCAGGCTGGACTTGAACTCCTGGGCTCAACCGGTCCTCCCGCTTCAGCCTCTGTGTAGTTGGGAGTCTCAAGACCAGCTGGGACTACAGGCAGATGCCACTGTGCCCAGCTTCCAACAGGGTGTTACTACATTTGGGTGGATATGGGGGACTGTTCTGGGCACTGCATCCCTGGCACCTGACCACTAAATGTCAGTAGCACCCCCAGTCACTGTGACAACTAAAATGTCCTCTTCCCCATCTCTAAGGACCACCTAAGAGCATAGAACTGCTTCCATCAGGAACTGGGCATCGCTCCATTTTATAGGTGAAGATGGTGAGGTTCAGAGAAGCCAAGTGACCTGCCTAAAGCTGCGCCAGTGCGAGGCAAAGCTGGCCCTAGGTTAGTGATAAGGATGGGAATGATCACAATCAGAGCAGCCTCATTGTCCCCCTCCACTCACTTTGGGCACACAGACCTGGCACCTTCCACCTGCAGAGACCTGCCCTGGCCTACTTGGCCCACTGGGCTGCTCTTGAGATGCCTGGTGTCCTGCAACCTAGAGAGGAATCATTTGTTCAAAGCCATCCTCACAGTACTCTCTGTAGAGATCTCCAAGGCCCGGGGGCGTCCTTGAGCCCATCTCAGACTTGTGTGCACAGGGTGTTAGAGAACATGGTGAGGACCTCACTCCACTCCCAATTACTGTGGCTACAGACGGAGGCCCAGACAAAGTCCCAGCCAGGTGCTAGTGTGCCGGGAGCTGCCCTCCCACGTGTGCTAACTCCAGTCGGACCAGCTGCCAGCTGGAATTTACCCACATGCCTGTTTTCATTGTGTTTATCTGTAGGGTCACCTGTTTACAGTGACCCTACATTCCTGGTAGTAATAAATGTTCTCTCTTTGCAAAATGTTTATTTCACTTTAAAAAGGGCTGAGCTAGGTGTGATGGCTCATGTCTATAATTCCAGCGCTTTGGGAGGCCAAGGCAGGAGGATCACTTGAGCCCAGGAATTCCAGGTACCATTGAGCTATAATTGGCCACTGCACTGTAGCCTGGGTTCAGAGTTGAGACCCTGTCTCTATAAATTAATTAATTAATTAATTAATAGAGCCAATTTAAAGAAAACAACTAAGTTAATACTAGTTCAGGTGCTGGGCAGGTACAGCAAAAAATGCTGACAATGTCATTTGAGGTTTGAGAGACCAAGACTTCGAGAGGCCTTCCCCAGGGCAGCATTTGCCCAACATCTTCATCCCAGTCTGGTCACACCCAAGAACCACCTGGACTATTATTTACTTAGTATTTTTAATTAAAGTACTTTTTTAAACTCCAAATTTTTAAAAGGAACCTTAATGTCACTATCATGGATAAAAACCAACATCATTTGTCATAAACAGAAGGCAATGCCAAAAATGCAATGAAAATGAAACCATGAATTCTAGCTCGATACCCCTGGCCTATAAAATTGAGCCAGGAGCCTGAAAAAAGGGGAAAGTAGCCAATCTTCAGGAAGCCTCAGATGCCCTGAAAGCCCATCTCCCTCTGCTGCAGCCACCGCATGTTCCCTGCCTCCCGGGGACATCTCCAGCAGAGCGCCTCGCTCGGGAAGCCCTGGGAGAGTGTGGCCAGGAGGCCCAACACCGTCACCTCATAGCTGCGTATCTGGGGTGAGTCACGGAACCTCCCCAAGCCTCAGTTTCCCTCCTTGTCTAATGGAACCCTGCCCAGTCGGAGTGACGCTCCGGGGAAGCCATGGAGATGTGAGACATGGGAGAGGCAGATGTTTTTATCTGCCCAGCCTAGCCCAGGAAGGAATCCCAGGAATGAAGCCTTACCGGCAGGGGAGCTCCCAGCCACGCCAGGCTTGGGACCTGGGATGACAGCAGTGAGGCCACCAGCATCATTCCGGAGTCCCTGGGTACCAATTATCACCTGGCTGAGGCTGTTTCAAAGGCTGCCCACACAGGCACAGCCTCCTTGGTGACTGGCCCTCAAGAAGAGTAAGGGGCCTGGCGTAAGGGGGATGGGTTCCTGGGCTGGAGCCCCTGTAGGTCTGCCACACCATGACCACATCATCTATTAAGCGGTGCATGGTTCACCATCCCATTGCATCTACCTCGCACAAGCTCTCAGGCGGGAACTGCTGCTACCCTATCCTACAGAGAAGGAGACAGCCTTGGGAGGTGAAGTCACTTGCCCGGGCTGTTGGTGGAGTTGAGATTTAAACTGAAATGTGTCTGACTGCAAAGCCTCTAAGCAATGATTTTAGGGGGTACAAAGATGTGGCCATAAGTGACACTGAATCACACATGTATAACGAGCAAGCGATTCACTTTTTGGTTCTCAGTGGATCCTTATGATCACTTACAGGAGAAAGTTCTAGTGTGGTGCTGGTATAGCTTTACTACTTGGCAGTTGCTAATCCCCTTTTAACAAACAGGGAGCAGACGACAGGTCCCACGCCCTTAACTGGCTTTAGTATTTGGCCAAAAGCTAATGACTTTGGCACTTACTATCTTTATCCATGCCAAGTGATGATGGTTTTCTCTTTACAGTGACATAAACATTCTTTTTAAAATAAATGCACGTAAAAAAGGGAAGTCGGGCACAGCGGAACGTATCTCCGAGACTCCGTGAGGCCTTTCGGAGGGTGGCAATGGCCCAATACCTTCATCCGAGGCTGGCTGCATCCAAGAAGCACCTGGACTATTGTTTACTTAGTATTTTAAATTAGTGTACTTTTTAAAACTCCAAATATTTAAAATGAACCTTTACATCACCATCATGAATTAAAAAAAAAACAAAAAAAACCCTTTGTCACAAACAGAAGGCAATGCTAAAAATATGATGAAAATGAAGTCATTAAGTCTAGCTCGATGCCCCCGGCCTGCAAAATTGAGGCAAATGCCCATCTTACTCTCAGCTACTTGGGAGGCTAAAGTGGGAGGGTCACTTGAGCCCAGAAGTTTGAGACCAGCCTGGGTAACATATTTGATAGCAAGACCCCATCACTTTTATTGTTTAAAAAGTTTTTTTCAAAAAGTAGATTGTTTTACAAATGAAACACCAGAAGTAGTATATTTCATCTTAAATTATAAAGGTAAAAATATTAACTTAATGGTGGACAGAACTGGCAGACAACACCTAAGCCAAGCGATCAAAGTTAGCATCACCAGGATCACAGGACAGACAGCACGTGCCTCTTGATGACACGCACGGAGCACACACGCTTGCTGCTGTGGTATCCCTGCCAAGAACACGTCATCTGAACCTGACCTTGAGAGTGAGTCTCAGACAAACCCAAAGTGAGAGACAGTCTGCAGAATGCCAGACCTGTGCTCCTCAAAGATGTCAGTGTCGTGAAAGATACAAGGACAGACCGAGGGGCGGCTCCAAACTGACGAAGGCTCGAGATTAATACGAAGGGTGATCTCAGATCGGATCCTGGACCTCAACGCCCTTCGTTCTTGATTGTCAAAGGACACTCTGGGACAACTGATAAAACTTGAACAAAGTTGTAGATTAGATTGGTCATAGCAATGTATCAAGTTAAATTTGCTGATTTTGACAGCTGTGCTGTCATTATGTAAATATGTTCTTGTTCTAAGGAAACAAACACATGCCTCTTGATATTTAGGAATAAATATTTAGGAGTAAAGGAGTATAATGTTTGAACCCATTATCAAATGGTTCAGAAGAATAATTATACATATATGCACTGTGTACATACACATGCATGCATATATTTACATACAAACAAAAGAGCAAGGAGGCATTTTGTGCATGAGCAAAATGTCAGTAGGTGTAACCGGTGAATTGGGTGAGGGTACATGAGAATTCTTTGTACCCTTCTTGCAACTTTTCTGTAAGTGTGAAATTATTTCATAATAACATTTTTTTAAAAATTCAGAAATAAGGAGCAAGAGTGTGTATGAGACTGACTGGCCTGTCATAATCTGTGAGCTGGTATTCCAACGTCAAAGACTGAGAGACCCTCACTGGAGGCCCCATCAAACCCTGGTGTGGCAGCAAGAGCACTGTGCTGGAAATTCTACTTGGGTTTGGCTCCTTGGCCCCTCACTTCCCCATCCTGGCCTCAGTTTCCTTATTTGTGAGATGGGGATAAAGATGTCTATCCCTCTTATTGTGACCTTAGGTTTCAGAAAAGCAGACTATGCTTTCAGAATCTCTGGGGGGAAAGACAGCAGATAAATCAGAAAGATGAAATGTGATAGGAGCCCTCACTTTCTTAGTTCAGCAAAATACACAACAGGGCGGTGAGGGCATGGTGTGGGCCCTGCCTTTTCCTCAGGCTGAAATCTCTAGTTTGTACAACCCAGGGCCAAGGCAGTGGGGCCCCTGACATCTCACTGTCTTGAGACACACATTAGGGTCTTCTCCTGTCCAAAGAGGCAGCTGGCACCGATGCACCCTGTGGCCAGGCCTTTCCTGGTGGGCCTCATGAGGTGGGCCCATGTTAGGGACAGAACTGGAGCGTTGGTCAGGCCTGGGTGCCCCTGTCTCCCCATGCCACCACTGTCTGTCTCTCACCTGGATAACGGCTACAGCCTCCTGGCCTGGATTCCTACATCTGCCCTGACCCCTGCCTGTGGGATCTCCCATGGCTCAAATCTGATCGTGTCCCCGTAGAAGGTCTGTGTTTCTGAGCTGGGCAGCAACATGCCCAGTGGGTGTTCTGCTGATAGGACAGGCTGCAGATTGGCAAGGAGGGATGAGGGCAGGTAGATAGGAAGGAACAGTTGTGGCACCCAGTGGGAAGATAACCAAGGCCTGGGAAACCCTGTAATACAATAGACTACTGAGTCTGGTGACCCTTCGCTTCATATCTGAGCTGCACCAGGCCAGGTCACACTGGCTCTGGTAGCAACAGTCTCTAGTTGCTGCCTCTAGTTGTCTACGTTTCTAGCCCCAAGACAGGCTCCTCTCCCACAACCCCCACTGTGTGCCCAAGAAACAGCTGGCAGGCACCAGCTGCTTTATTAGGAGCCAGGACAAACCACCCCAGCCGAGCTGCCTCTGCACCGGAACTGCTGGGACCTGAGGACTCTCGCTGGCTCCCAGGCCAGCCACAGCAGCCCTTTCTCCAGATACCCGATCCCTGCTTCTGGGCAACAATTAACAGTTGGGGAAATCCAAAGAGCCAGCTCGCCAGGGCTCCGGATCTGGTGCCCTGAGGACCACAGGGCAGTGGGGAAGGTTTCCCAAGGGTCCTGGGGCTGGAGAGTGGGAAACAACTCCCAGCTAGGCCAGACCTGGACCTCCCTGGCACTCAGGCAGCCAGTCCTCTTTTGCTCATCATGGGATATAAATATTCATGCATGAGTGTAGGTGCAGCATTCACAAGGGCCTGTGAATACACAGTTTCCATTACATCTGACTATTAATAGCAGTTAGTATTAATATATCTTTTGCTATATATAAGAAGGTCTAAGTGCTTAATATGTATCTCATTTAATCACCATAAGGAGGTATTTATCCCCCTATTTTATAGAAATGGAAACTAAAGCACAGAGAGGTTAAGAAGCATGCCCAAGGTCACAGCTACCCTGCAATTTGAACCAGGTAATCTGAATCTCGGGTCCTGGCTCTTAACCAGGACTCTAATACTAGCACCCTAATACTACGACCCCAATACTGCCTCCTCAAAGAGGTGCTCAGCAAATGTGGGTGCGCCTTTGCAACCTGAGACCCACCTCAGGCCACACTGCCTGGCATATGCTACACCAGTAGTCACTGTCTCCTGGACTGACTTGTGTGGAACACGTGTGACCACATGAGGACCAGTGAAAAAGAGCAAGATTGCACTACCGGCTTTCTGGGACAGGGCCCAGAGACAAGGTCCATCAGGTCATCTAGACCTTTCCCACAGGCTTTCCTGCCACTGGCCACCCCTCCCACACCCCTAGGTTATGGCTTCCCGGGCACAAGGGGCCAAGGCCTCCTTGGCTTGGATTTGGGGGTGGGGAGGAGGGACTGCTGTGCATGCTCCCCCCACTTCTCCTGGCCCAGGTCTGTCCCACAGCCCCAGGCAACCACCACGACCACCCCCCACAACCCCACTCCCCTCCAAGGGTCAGGCCCTGTCACTCCAAGAGCTTTACAAGGGGGTCCTTGAGAGACACTTCCTGGTGTTTCTGCTCAAACAGCGTTTGCTGCAAAATATGTCGAAGCATTTGGGCTTCAGTTTTCAGTTTAGAATATGCCAATGTTTTCATTTGGAAGGGGAAGTGTTTCTGTTGATGTGGTAAAGAGATAAAATAAGACGTTCTTCACCAAAGTTTCACTGCTTGAAAGTCAAACGCTTGGCTTGGAGACAGGGATTTATCTTGGGATCGCCAGGGCCCAGCACATGGCTTGGCAGAAGAGTAGACAGGACCAACATTTGTTGAATGACTGAATGAGGGAATTTACAAAGGGCCTAGAACTGGGGAGTGGTATATGATCAATACTCAGTACAGACTTTGAATGGATCCCATAGGTTCTACCTCTGATAAGAGTTCTGGGTATGTTCGTGTTTCTCTATCTTCACCAACCTTGCCTCTCGTCCAAGCCTCTGTCACCTCTGGCCTGGACAACTAACAGCCTTCTAGCTGGCTTCCCTGCTTCCACTCTTGCCCCTTCGGCCCATTCTGGCCACAACCACGAAAGTCAACTTTGCAAAATGGGAATTGCATTGTGTCATTCTCTGCCTAAATCCTTCCAATGGCTTTCCACTGCTTTTGGCCATGGCCTCCCCTGTCCCGCATGGCGCCCCCCCAACCCTGCTGACCTCTCTTGGGGTTGCTCTCTAGCCACGCTGTCCTCCTCTTGGTGTCTGAAAGAGCCAAATGGAAGAGCCTACGCCAAGGACCTTGGCTCTAGTGGTTCCCTCTGCTCGGATTGCTTTTCTCTCCATCTTCGTCTGCCTCCTTCTATCAAATTAGGGCCAGCTCAAACGTGTCATCTCCTTCTCTGACCCCCTCCTAGCTAAAGCAGCCCATTTCTATTCTTCTGTTTCACCTGCTCAACGTCTACACCCCCATAGAGCACCTACCAGATGCCAGGTGCTGTTCTACGTGCTGAGGACACAGCAGTGAACACTACAGAGGAAGCTCATGTCTTTCTTACATGCCTTCAAAGCTCTTAAAACACCTGATTATCTTCTTTGGGTACCTACGAGTCTTCCTCACCAAGTGCCAGGAGGGCCAGGGCTGAGTCTGTCTTGCTCACTGTGTTCACTCACCCGGCAAATAAGCATTTGTTCGATAAAAGAAAGGATGGAAGGCAGGCTGGGTAGGTATGTGGAGCAGCTGGCACCCCCCCCACACTTGGTTCTTGCTAAGATCTTACTGAGCTTAACTGAAGTTTTCTTCAAAGAAATCTCACTGTTGACCCCTTAGGGCAGCAGTCCCCAACTTTTTTGGCACCAGCGACTGGTTTCATGGAAGACAATTTTTTCACGGATGGACGGGCGGGGGTGGGGGTGGAGGCAGAGCTCAGGCCGTGAGGCAAGCAATGGGGAGCGGCTGTAAATACAGATGAAGCTTACTTCCTGCTGTGCCCCAGACTCCAGACTGGTACTGGGGTTTGGAGACCGAAGCCTTAGGGGAACTCTCTGCCTCCAGCTCTGCTGCCAGCACATCCTATCCACCCTGCATCACCCTCTGCAACAGACTGTTTATGTCCCCTTCCAAAATTCATATGTTGAAACCCTAATTCCAATGTGATGGTATTAGGAGGTGGGGCCTTTGGGAGCTGATTGGGTCATCAGGGTGGAGCCCTCATGGATGGGATTAGAAGAACTGTAAGAAATGTTTGTTGTTTAAGCCACCCAATCGATAGGATTCTGTTACAGCACACCAAACTAAGACACCCTCTGATTATGGTCATGTTGGCAAGACAGGCAACACAGGAGAGGAGTAAACTTGGCCTGCTTGGGGCAAGTGGCATTAGCGTCCATTTTCCAAAAGGAGCCCCTGCCCACCTCCTCATACCCCCCTTCCTTGCCATGCAGGCCCCGTGCCCAGTGATGCTTCAGCACCATCTAGCCTCATGGGCTGAGCCAAGGAGTTCCTGCCTGCCCTGTGACCCCTCACTGGACCACACAGCTGCCCGACAGCCTGCCTGGCATGCATGTTCTCTCTCATCTCGTCCAGCTGCCTCTCTTCCTTGCTCAGGGACTTTGACCAAGTCTTACTCCTCCCTGGACCTTCATTTCCCTACTTCTAACACACAAGGTGGGCTGGAGGCAAGCTCCCTGGTCACAGCCCAGAGACAGGACTTTAATACCTCAGTGCAATGTCCCTTCTCCTGCTGACCCAAGAGCCCCTTGAGGCCTTGCAAACACTGCAGACAAAGCCAGCCCCAGCATCAACCCCCCCTGCTTGCCTGTTCTGTGAAGGCAGCTTGCAAAACTGGCAGCCCCTGCAGATTTGAGCTGCAGAACTGGCGAGCTGGGGCACCCTGAAACCTGACTCCAGAACAGCAGCAAACCCAAGGCCAAAAGGAAGTACAGGGTTCTTTGCCCAGGCCTCTGCACTCAATCCCCACCAAGTCCCCCAAGGGGCCACAGACAAAGGTGATCAGTGCCTGGCTCCCTACCTCTTCTTACACTCCCAAGTCTTTATCCTTCCAGGACTAGTGAGAATCCCCAAAAAACCAAGGTCACCATCAAGCCAGGATGAGGATGGGGGAGGAGCTCACAGCTCTGCCTCAAGTGGATTTGGCTGCAAAGGCTTTTTCCACAAGCCGTGGGGGTGAGTCCCATGACTATCCCAAGCATAACTTAGGCCCTGGGTCCTCTGCCGCTTCAGCAGTTGTCCCCTTTGCTGGGAGAAGCTTTCCGTCCCCAACTAGGGGCCTGAGAGGGGTCCGGCCTTTCCTAACATCCAGTTAGACCTGGGGAGGCGCTCGGAGAAGTCATAAGCCTAGGAAAGGGGTGTGTGTGCAGCCTGGGGGTGCCTCCCTCCCCTCACCAGTGCCCCGGGCCGCCCTCGTCCCACGCAGAGAAGGCACTTACAGGCCTTGGAGGCGGGGGAGGGCCTCGTCCTGGGGTCCCATCCTCGTCCGGACGGTGCCCTCAGCCGGAAGCGGCGGCAGGATCCGGGCGGCTGGTCCAGCCCGAGGGTTGCGGGTCGTCCACGGGAGCGGGGAACGGCAGTGAAGACTCTACTCCAAGTACCCATCGAAGACGTCGAGCTCCGAGTCGGCATCGTAGAGGCCGGAGCCGGGGTCGGAGAGCACGCCGAGGTCCACGAGCGCCTGGTCCATGTCTTCGGGCAGGAAGACGAGGCCCACGTTGAGGACGATGTACTCCATGAGGAAGGCGTAGTACAGGATCAGCACGTTGACGAAAAAGAGGCCCACGAAGAACATAGAGGGCAGCAGCGGCGGGGACACGTAGGGGACCAGGGGGCCCAGCGCGTCCAGGTGGGCCGCGACCCGGGCGCCGGGCATGCAGCGGGCGGGGCGGCGGCCCGGCGAGCTCAGCCGCTGAGGCCCCCGGGCGGCCGGCGGGGGGACGGCTCAGCCATCCAGGGGCGCCCCGGGGGTCGACCGAGGCGGCGCTGGGCCCCAGGGGCCCCCTGCGAGCGCGCCCCGGCCGCGGGAAAGTGCCGGGCGGGTCGCCGCACCCGCGGACGTCCCCACAAGGTCCCCTCGTCCCGCCGGGCGGCGACGGGCCCTTCCCGAGTGGCCGGCGGCTGCCCGGCCGCCCCGCGCGCGCTCACAGGCCCTCGCAGCGCCGGCGGGGAGCGCGCGGCGGCTCAGCGTCGGGGGCCGGTCCCGGTAGCCGTCCCTCCCGCCCGGCCCTGCAGCCCCTCGCGCCCCCTGCGCGCCCCCGCAGGCCCGGCGCCCATGGCTGCGGCCGCCGCGCCGCCCTCGGGTCCCGAGCCGAGCGCCGCCTCCGAGCGGCCCCGCGCTCATTGGCCGGCTGCCCCTGCCCGCGCTCATTGGCCGGCTCAACGCCCGCGCTCATTGGCCCGGGCCGCCAGGGGGCGGGTACCGCTCCGCTTCGCTCCGCCCCTCGGGGCGTCCGCCTCCGACTGGCCTTCCCAGTTCCCGTCTGCGCTCGAATCTCAAGTCGGGTTCCCTCCGCGGGGCCAGGGAGTAGGGGGAGGGAGGAGAGACTGAGCACAACTCAAACCTCGATTTATCCTAATGCTACAAAAGCCGGAGGACACCGCGGGCTTCTTCTGCACCTTGCTAGACTTTGGGATAGCGCCACGCCTGTTAGGGACTCAGTTTCCCCTTTGAAAGGAGGCAGGATGGGGGAGGGGCGGCGGACAGTTCCACCGAAAATCTTGGACATTCCCAAAGCGCCGATATTCACGGTGGAGATCCATCAGTGTCCCCTTCGCCTCTCCAAATCCTGGCTGCTGGAAGTTCTGCCTGTTGGCTGATCTGCATCAGAGAGCCTGGGAACACCTGAATAAAGAGTTTCCAAGGTAGTTAAGACCTTCAGCCGTAAGATTGCTTTGTGCTTGTTTGTTTTGCTTTGCAAATCATGTTTAAACACAATAATGCACGTGGCTAAACATTCAAACGACCAAGAAGTGCACGGACAAGTGAGTTTTTCCCACCAGTGGTTCCCCTGGTCTTGGGCAACCGTTGCACATCCTTCAGGAAACTGATCTTGCCCGAAGCGCCGTCCAAAGCCGTTCAACGAACCTTTAAATCTCAGGCCACGCTGAGCTGGGGGATGTGCATGCATTGCTTAACTGGAGGCAGAAAAGGCAGTGTAGTATGTCATCCCTTGTTACAGATGAGGAAACCGAGCCCAGGGAAATGGAGGGACTCTGGAAGCTGCTGGGCCTGGGTTCGTTTCTTAGGAGGCCAGAACCTGCTCTTTATTCTCCATGACTTTCTCGTGCCCCCTCTATTTGAATTACAGGGCAGACCATTAACCCTCCACAGGTCTCCGCTTCTCCAGCTGCTGAAGATGAAACAAACTGCAACTGATTCATTCAGTCTGCCAGTACTTGTTGAATACCTACTGTGTGCCAAGCCTTGTGCTAGGCATTGGGGAGATCATTGGCCCTGACTCAGTTCTTTCTTGAGCATAGTTAATGAGACACACTCTAAGGCATAGAAATGAATGAATGAATGGGTAGTGAATTGGGAAGTCTTGCCTGCACTGAGCTTCCCACTTCTAATCCAGAAGAGAAATTTAGATACATCTTGGTTCATGTAGAAAGATGAATGTTTCCTTTTTCTTCTTAGTGTGGTGGTTTGGGAAATGGCATAGATTTCGGCTGAAGACCAGAGAAATTCTCTGAAAGTACAAGATGTTCAGTATGCTACATTGTTGCTCGCAGGCCTTTCCAATATGCACACACACAAACTCTCTCTCTCAATTGACATGGAAAAAGAAAAAGGCTGTGAGGACAAACAAGGCAGTTACCCATTTGGTGCAGTTTTGGTTTATTGGGAAGTGATGAAAATAAGGGTGCAAGGGTATGAACCCTGGTTATGCCACTTATTAACTGCATGACCTTGAGTAAGTCAACCTCTCTGTGACTCAAGTTTCCTGGACCATAAACTGGGAATAATAATAGTACCCTATCAATAGTAGGGTTGTTGTGAGAATTAAGTACCCTAATATATGTAAAGCGCACATGACAGTGGTACATAGTATATGCCATGCAATAGTTATTCTAATCTTATCCTAAAGCTGATAATTATTATTAATAATATCGTAGTGACTTATCTCCACCCATCTTCTCCAGTTCCCTCTCCAGGTCTCCGCCCACAGGCTTCCCAGTCCCGCCCATTCGGACGAGACTTCGGCCTCCCCTCCTCTCGCTCCGCCTCTGCTGAAGGCCGCAGGCCCTCGGTGCCTGATGCACGCCGGGTCTTGTAGTCCGTTCGCAGAGTCCCGTCGCTGGGGGCCACGCGCATGAACTGCATTTCCCAGCGTTCCTCGAGGCGGCGGCCGTAAAGCGCGGCGGTCGAACGGCCGGTTCCGGCTGAATGTCAGTGCGGGGCTGTGGGCCGGGGAGGAAGGTGGCTGGCGGTCCCTCCACCACCTCCGCCGCTGCCTCCTCGGCTTGTGGTGCCGCCGCGGGCGCTGGGCCGCTCGGCTGGTCGGGCATGAGACCGTGAGGCGAGCAAGGAATCGGAGCCGCCGACATGTTTGGCCGCTCGCGGAGCTGGGTGGGCGGGGGCCATGGCAAGTCCTCCCGCAACATCCACTCCTTGGACCACCTCAAGTGAGTGTGTTCGGGGCGAAGGCGGGAGGCCGCGAGGCTGGGCATGGGCAAGGGGGTGCATAGCCCCGGGCCGGGGCCGCTGGGGGGTGGAGCGTGAAGGTGGGGGGCGGAGAGGGCTCGCCGGGAAGGAAGGCGGTAGTAGGGTGGTTAAGAGAGGGGGCTCTGGAGTCAGAGCGCCTGGGTCCGAACCCTGACCCCGTCGCTCCTGGCTGTGTGACCTTGCACCAGTCGCTTAGTTTCTCGGAGTCTCAATATCCTCACCTGTAAAGTAAGGGGACGCGATTTCAGCTTATGAACACGGACGTCGTTCTTACTGGGGACGGACAGTGGCCACCAAGCCTCCCGGGGTGGTACTTCTTAGACTGGACAGTTTAGGGGTCAAAGACCTGAGTCCCAGAGTTGAGCAGATCCTGGTTTGAATCTAGGTGTGTTGATGTAGGCCTTAGTTTCCTCATTTGTAAAATGGGTAGTGTGACAGCACCTGCTTCCTGCAAGTGTTTTGAGAGTTGATTGGGTAAGAGAATGAACATAAAGCTCAGAACTTGTATTAATGCTCAATAAGGAGCAATAATTGAAGGAACAGAGTATCTTCTGGGGGGAGTCTAAGCAGGGAGTAATCAGAAGTAGAGCTCTGTGGAAGGACAAGTGGCAAATAGGGCCCTTGGGAAGCAGGAGTGCACAGAGATTGAGACTGGCTTTGCAGTCAGACCTGCTTTCAAATCCTAACTCCACCACTTGGTGGCTGTGTGACCTTGGACAAATTACTTCACCTCTCTGAGCCTCCAGTTCCCTATCTGCAAGTGGGGATGATGAACATGGTACAGAATTCAGTGATGTCATGCTGCATTTATCACTTCAGCAAGGCCTTCCCAGACCACCCTACCTAAAGTGCTCCTCTCATCCCAATTCCTTTCTGCCAGATCTTTCTCTTGATTTCATTCAGTGCATCTCCACTATCTGTGATTATCCTGTTCATTTTCTATTTCTTTTCTGTCTCCTCTTAAACTGGTACTTTAAGGGGGATAGAGACTGCTTGGGTTGTTCACAGCTGTGTTCCCAGCATCTAGCACTGTGCCCGGCACACAGTAGGAGCTCAGTGGATACTTAAAGAATGAAAAAAATGAATCAATGAATTGCGGAGAGGTTCAGAGCATGCAGGCTGAGACTCAGGTTTTGGGGGCAGGTGGGGAGGGTGATAAAAAATAGAGACCTTTGAAGGAGGAAATTACTTCAGGGAGGAAGTGGAATTTAATAAGTGTGTGTGAGTCTCAAAGAGTGGGGGGCTGGAGGGTTCATTATGTGGTGAGGGATGGTTTTGGGGAGAGGTGGTAAGAGAAGACAAGGATAGGAAAGGGGTCCGTGATAAGGTTGGGAAGCAGGAATTTTGAATGAGAGGGCAGCTGGCAGGCAAAGGGAGAGACTTAAGGATTTCAGGAATTTATGAGTGGGTGGATGGTTATCCAGACGAGGCTGGGCCTCCTGCCAGCACCCAGGTACCTGCAGGCTCTCACCTAACTCTGCCTGACTCTAACCCTTTTGAATTACTTTACTAGTTATTGAATGCTTTATTCTGTGCGGGATACTTGCTAAGGACTTCCTATGTATTATTTCCATTAGTCCTCAGACATCTATGAGTTAATAGGAACTATTATTGTTTCCATTTTATAGAAGTGGAAACTAAGGTTCAAGGTTCTTAAGTCACTTGCCTCCAGGTAACCATAGCTAAAGGATGTCTGTAGAGCTTGTACTTGTTATACTGCCTTTCTGAATAAAACTTCCTGATAGGTCAGTCGGGGACACTTTTGACTCAGCTGAGCCTCATCACCAATGGGGCATCTTTGCCACCCAGCCAGCCAGGGAATGGTAAAGGTTCTCAGGTTCCCTTGCCATATCCTGGGAACTGCCCAGGTTCATTGTTTAGGTCGTGTGTCTGTCAGGTGCTTCTTTGGAAACCCGAGCTGCCTGCCCTGGATCAGGCAAATCGGCTTAATCCATACTACAGCCAGAAAAACCTGTGATTCATGCATGGGGGGGGGGGCTTAGAAGATTCCCAGGTGACATGGAAAAGAGTTCCATAAAAGCCAGTGCCCACACCAATGCTTGCGCTGCTCTTCATTTGACTCTGCTAGTAAACATCTAGGGTCCGAGTACAGAACAGCTCATTCTCTGAGAGTCTGTAGGCTGCTGGGGGAGACAGCCATAGAGCCAGTGGCTGTGCAGTGTGACAAGTGCTGGGGTCACTGTAGGCCCAGGGATCTGTGGGAACCCTCCTTGGACAGGTAGGAGCCACCCTACCTGTGGGATAGTGGGATACAGGAGGGAGAACACCATAATTAGGACCCCAGGGTTTGTGGCCTGCAGTGGATGGTGGTGGTGGTGGTAGTTGTGGGAAACAAGGCTAAAGGTAGGAAGGGGCTTGGGATTTATCTGACATTTAGGGTGACCAACCATCCAGGTTTGCCTGGGACATGGAACTTTCAGTGCTAAAGCTGAGAAAGTCCTGGGCAAACCAGTAACCAGTACAAACTGGTCAGTCTATCAGTGACAAGTGACAGTTCCTAATACACTCTTGCCCTGACCTAGGGCAGTATGGGCAGAGAGGAGAGGTTAAGATATTTAAGCAAATTTAGAATCGATAATTATTATTATTATTTTTTAACACACAAAGCATCTGGTCTGGGAACCTTCCTCTTCTAATAGACTTATTTTTTTTTAGAACAGTTTGAGATTTATAGAAAGATTGAGAAGATAGTACAGAGAGCTAGAAACCCTTTTTAAACCACATTATTCTTCATAACACTCCCAGCTTGCAAACTGGAAAGGAATTTTCCTGTTATGGTTTTGCTTTTGCTAAATTATAATGGAATAATAACGGAAAACTGTGTACTGTAGTCTTTATCTACTGAATCGAGTTAGTGATTTAGGCAGATTGAAATAGTCAAGAGGTTATTTCTTACACACTCTGGGTGGTTTATTGCCCAGACTAGTGGCAAGGCTGTGACATTGACTGACAAATGCCCACCACAAAGTAGAAAAGCTTTACTGATGGAGTAGTGTGATTGTTGCTGAAATATCATCTTTACCAGGCACTGCAAGTCCACAGCTGGTAGAACTTGGTGGTGGTTGTGTTGTGCTGTTGCCTTAGTTCTGATCATCTTTGTGTGTGGGCCAAGATTCTTAGTTGCAAATGACAGAAAACCCAGCTTGAATTGTCTTAAGCCCCAAATGGAATTGGATAGCTCCTGTCACTAAATGATCTGTCCTGGCTAAACCTTGGCTGAATCTAGGTATTTAGACAGTGCTGTCAGGAATCTGCATCTTCCTATCTCTCAGCTCTGCCTCCTTCCACATTGGCGTCATTCTCAGGCAGGCTCTAGGCATGCATCATATCAGTTCAGTAATCCCTGGGGGAAAGAGAGCTTCCTTTCTTAATATTGCCAGCAAAAGTCCAGAATTGAGTATTGTTGGACCAACCTGAGTTCTCATGCCACCCCCGAGCTGTCACTGTGGCCAGGGATATATGGTGCTCTAATTGGCCAAGGCTCATTCATATACCCTTCCCTGGAGCCAGGGTGGGATCAGCTCCACCCAAGTTAGTGGACAGAGAATGAGAGAAAGGGGTGGTTCCCTATGGGAGAATCTGGGGTTATTACCCAAAGAAGGTGGGGAACGTATGCCCAGCAGATAGACGCTCACCTACTCTTGGTATATTCAACTTTTGGCTAAGATGGCACTGACAGTTTTAGAGCTGGGGGTACAATATTGCCATATTAATTTTCTTAAAATAACATGTTTACCATATGACACATAATGGGTCCTAGGCACCCACTATGTCAAGTCTAAATTCTTGTTTCAGGCTTTCAAAGTGCTCTAGACTCTTTTCCAGCCCATCCTGTTTGGAGCACAGGGGATCAGGAACATTCTTGGTTGGCAGATGCCTGTTTAAATGGAGACCTAAAGGATGAGTCATTGTTACCAAGCAGTAGGGGGACAGGGAGGAAGGAAGGGTGTTTCAGGCAGAGAAATGGCATTGGAGAAGGCTGGGTGGGGGACAGGGCAGGGGGAGCAGTGCACATTGGCAGAACTCAGGTGGTTCAGTAAGGGAGTGTACATGGGCTGAGCTGTGGGGTGGGACAGGTCACTAGAGGCCAGGTCCCTCTGGGCCTTGTAAATCACGTTAAGAATTTGGATGTTAAGTACAAACAGTGGGGAGCCATTGAAAGTTTTTAACCAGAGGAGTGCTGTGGTCTGGCTGAAGTTTGCAGAGTGGATTGGAAAAGGGCCAGACTGAAGGTGGGCGTCTGCTCAGGGGCCACTGCCATCTTCTGGTGAGTTATGGGAGCAGCTTGCTGTCGTCCACATGCATTCCCGTGGGTACTCCTTCTCTCTCTCTCCCTGGCGCACACCTCACAAGCCCTGCTGAGCACCTGTCCTCTTCCTGCCCATCCAAATGCCAATTCTTCCCTAAAGATTGCATGGGTCACTTCAGCTGACATGAGTTTTACTGTCTTCTCTAACTTCTCTCGTGCTTGTTCTCATTGTCCCACTCAGTAATCACATTATTGTACACTGTCTTCTTATCGCCAAGGAGTGGACCTGCTGTTAGGTCCTGTGGGTTCTTCAAGCTTCATCTCAACCTTGGATTGGATCCCCAGGAAGCTTGCCAGGGTTCCTCGGGCATGTCCTTTTGCCATCAGAAATCATCTTACTTTGTTGTATATCTTTTTGTCTTTCTCAATTTGAACGTAAGCGCCATGAAAGCCTGTGTGACTTGTTCAGCTGGGCGTCTTCAGATGCCAGCACAGGACCTGGCAGATAGCAAGCAGTCAACAAATATTTGTTGCAGGGTGAATGAAAGAGGCAAGTTCTGGCCAGCCTCTTCTTAACAACTGCTTGCTCTCACCAGTTTGGTCACAGTGCCTGTGCTGGAGCTGTGAGTTTTCTCTGGGGCTGAAAGCTCTGCCTACACCCTCACCACATATCCCAGGCCCGGTCTCACT